GTATGAGAGAAACAATACAAGTTTTGTTTTAAAAAAGGCTTATTACATTATAGCAAACATTTGATGTAACTGACAGACATGAGTATGGTCATAATAATCCTAAAAAGGATAAGATAGTGGAATGCCTGAATCTGAAGTAGATTTTGTTTTTAATGATGTTTTCTATAGCTACTCTGTGACTTAGTTAACCATAAATTTAAATTAGTATATTTCTATCCCTTACTATAATATTTCATTAATATACATATATATATGCTTATGTTTAATTTTTTTCATTGCCTATTTCTGTCAAGCTGTTACCAATTATCACAATTTCTATAGAAATATCTCTTAGAATATGGCAAATTCAAGTAATGCAGCCATTTCATCGTATTCACTAACTACATTAATTGAGACCTGCCTGTAATTACAAATGACCTGCAGTTAGAAATGAATTTGTTGCCTTTAGGTTGATAATTATTAATTTTAGGGGATTTAAAAAAATGATTAGTGTAATATATCAGTGACAATTTAGTAGAATATTCTATATACTTTCTTTAGGATGCTACTAACATTCGAACTCCACACTTGATGAAATCAAAATACTGATAAAACATCAAGGGAAAAAATACTTATGATGGTACCGGGTTGAAATAATTCAGGCAGAATTTTAAAGACATCCTAATTTTTTTTTGCATAATGAATCTGATCAGGATAAAACTTCAGAACCTCGGACTTGATAAATGCCACACAGGGAGCTGCTGATCATTCCTAAAAAAAAAGTGAAAATACTTTTAGTAGTGTTGTGGTGCCTATGAAAATAGGAACAAAGAACAAACAAAAAGCTGAATCACAGGCAATCTCATTTGATCCAATAACTGGACTGAAAGCTCTAGTCTATAACTTTCTTTTATTGCCTCTGTTGCAATGATAATCTCTCTCTCCCTCTCTCACTCCCCCTCCCTTCCTCTCCCTCCCTCTCCCTCCGTCCCTCCCTCTCTCTCCCCCTCTCCCCCCCTCCCTCCCTCCTTGCGAGTAATCGTCTGTAGGTTATGGATCTTCCTATATGAACTTGATACATTGTTGTCTACATAATAATAGCTAGGAACCAAGCCAGCATTCTCCCTTTATATATCATATGTATTTATTAAGCCATTTTATTTAATATGTCCAAGTCCCAATTTTTCTTCTTGCTGCTAGTGAGAATAGGTATCTGGTAAAATAGTTGGGCCTTTACATTTTCCAAATGCTTTAAGGACATTAATTAATCAGCTGCTATCTTTGGAACCAATTCGGACCAAATTCTCAGTTTGAGGGTTCTGCTAGACATAAACTTTGAAGCCCATGTCAAAACACTGTTCTAGCAGTGCATAGTGATATCCTATTCTAAGATTACTAAAACATCTTTAGTAAGATAAGTCAAGATTCAAGCTACAGAAGATGGAACTGCACTGTTCGATAAGCTGCAACTCTGATGTTTTATGCTGAAATTTCTCTTTCAAATTTTTAGATTTAATCAACATCAGTCTGCTCCTACGTACTACGTACAATCCTTGCATTGTATGTTGTTATATTCATATTATTTGTTGTAAAATCTCTCTTTCACATGCTTAGCATTTGCTGGCTAAGATTATGCCTTGCAATAAACAAGCAATATTTTTTGAGTTACAAGATAATAATATTATATCGTCTTTATTGTATCTGTAAAATGGCATTTGTTCCAATAAACTCTTAAATTAGTGAGGAAAGTTAGGAAAATCTGACTGAATTGCAAGTTCAAAGAAAAAGCCCCAGATTCAATCCTCAATAATTTGAATCTCGAAAGAGCCAGAATCAACCAGTGTAGACGAGACTGAATTAGAGATTTCCATTTCTCCACACAACAACAACAACAACAACAACAACAACAACAACAACAACTGATTTAGTCCCAATGAATGGGGTTTATTTGTTTCAAAAATGTATGAGTTCCTCAGCAGCACTCAATGGTGATACTCCATGAGAGAATAAAATCAATGCAAGTAAAAGAATAGATAAACCAGCATCAGCAAAAATAGCAGATAAATGTCACAGAAACAGAAAAGCCACCATAACATTAAAAATGCAGCAGAAGTAAAACCAATAAAAAAAACTTTGCCTAGTATGATAATGATAACAAAGAAAGTGCATTTTGATTTCTTGAAGCAGTCATGGTGATTAAACTCTCTCCCCACTCTGCAATCTTAAACAGACTTGAGAATGTTTGATAAGTTAATTTGTTGCAGAGAAATTAGGAAGCCATACTAGAAGAAGCTAACAGCATCCTGGAATCTTGCTCTCTAGTTAGTTAGTCTCCAGGCTTAAATCCTGGTCTTTTCTCCCATCTTTTCAAGTCAAACAGCCATTATATCTGCTTGATCCTGATCGTGAAGATTTCTAGCATCTGTCTCATGCTTGTAAAATAGGTTTTAATAGTATGAGATTCAGAGATTCTACCTCAGTAATTTCAAGTCTGAAACCAGGATGTCTTATGGGCCTGATACAAAAGTCTCCAGTGATTCACAAATTAATAAAATGTATCATGGTTTGCCATCATATAAATATACCAATATTTTTTTTTTTAAAAAAAATATTGCAAAATGAAGTTGCTTTTTCAGCATGTCATTTTGGCCACTTATCTAACCAAGTGGTTTTCATTACCCAAAACAAATTTAATATGAATGTCTGTGTATAAACAACATAAAATATTGAGCTAAATCATCATCTTGAAACTTCACAAAGAAATAAAAAGTATAGTAATGTTGCTTTTCAATTTGGCACGCGTCCCCTTCTCATAAGAGCATTTGCTTCCTAAAAATTTAGCTCAAAATTTTATGGAAAGGAAATTAAAGCATGCGTTCTGTCACAATGAAAATAAGCAAGTATCGTTTGGAATTTTCCAATTTATCATTTAAGAGAAAGCATGGGGCTTCGAGTCAAAATTTAAACTAAAGCCTCACCTTTCTCACAGATGGATGTGGTCATAGAGAACCACGTAGATGAACCCGGCAAAGATATGAAGACCATTAGCAAAACATAAACTCAGTCTGGCGGGGAAAAAGACAGTTTGAGAAAGTTGCCCTGTCTTGACTCTCTTGAGTTGAAGAGGGAGAGAAAAGGAAATGCTGCAGGGCTTTAGAGATTCTGTTACTATATAGCCTAAATACAGTAAATAAAGGAGAGTTCCAGTATTTCTTGGAGAGGATATTTCCTGACTTGGCCAATCTAGAACGACTGACAGGTGGAAAGTAGCCATCTTAGCGCAGAACCTGGGACCATCTCTGTTGGGATACACCAAGGAGGGAGTGGAACTTCATGCCTCAAAGCAATAGGCCAGAGCTGCTCACTTGAGGGCAGCTCCATGGTGACAGACAAAGGAGAGTCCAGGATGGAGAAACCTGTGGAGGATGCAGAACCTTCACATCAGCCCCAAATAGCAGAGCTCCCTTGGCAGATTGTAAGAACACATTCTTGTTCCTGCCACTCTGTTGGGGATGGTGTTCTACCTTTCTTCGCATCAGAAAGTAATGCTTTTCTCCTGGCCAAGTTCGTTAAGACGCATCGCCACCACTGTTGCCTCCTGCCTATGCCCTCCTTTCTAAAGGGGCCATCCTAAGTAAAGGCTGTAGAGCAGTGGTGGGATTCAAAAAATTTTACTATCGGTTCTGTGAGCGTGGCTTGGTGGGTGTGACATGACTTGGTGGGCGTAGCTTGGTGGGTATGGCAGGGGAAGGATACTGTAAAATCTCCATTCCCTCCCCACTCCAGGGGAAGGTTACTGCAAAATCCCCATTTCTTCCCAATCAGCTGGGACTCGGAAGGCAGAGAATAGATGGGGGCGGGGCCAGTCAGAGATGGCATTTACGGGTTCTCAGAACTACTCAAAATTTCCGCTACCAGTTCTTCAGAATTGGTCAGAACCTGCTGAAACCCACCTCTGCTGTAGGGTGCAAGGGGGCCCTGTGGAAAGTCAGCCTGTCTTTAATTACTGTGTTGTTTCCCCTGACTGATGCAGGTGGAAGAAACCTACACATGCTTGTTAGCAATAGAGGAGGCTTGGACAAAGGGGAAAGTATCAGAGGAAAAAGAATGTTGTTTCTTAAGGGTGCATGGGCCAGATTAAAGCCCCACAGGCCCAGGAGGCCCAGTCCTTGCTTATAAAAAAAGGCAAGTTCATATGTTGTCACAATATGTATTCTAATACTGATTGTCTTACTGTATGTTATTTGTTGATGTAATTGTGGAATAACATGAAGTAATTGGAGGCCCAGTTTGGACCTCAGTTCTAAACTTATTTATTCACTGATAAAATCGAATATTTGCAAAAGGTCAGGATGCTTGTGAAAAATGTGTACACCATCTTACAGTTTATCATGAGAAGTGAATTTTATTGAGTTGTGCTACGTTTTGATTGAATCCTGTGACCTTTCCAAGGAGAGTAATCTCTGTTCTATTGCCATCTATTGAACAAGTTCTGAACCTTACTTGAGCAGCCCCTAGGTTAAACAAGAGGATCTGTTCCAGGAACTGTTACTTAAGCTGATTTTTCACATATGTCAGATTGCTTGCCAAGTACGGGCATGAAAATAGTAGCTGCTATTTTTGTGTCTCTTTGCATAAAGTTGGAAGAGCATAAATCATGACTTACAGTATCCGAGCTCTGCCTGCAATAGGTTGCCGCGCTGTGTCCATTGCTTTTATAGAATACATTTAAAGTTTTTAGAATACATTTAGAATGACATTTGAACAAAAGTAGCCACTGTTGAACAAAAGGTATTTTCTGTGCTTGAGCTTATCTCAGAAGCAAAAAAAAAAAGAAAGAGAAGGAAATGACTGTTAATGCGCTATTCGGTCAGAAAAAGAAAAAGGCCAACTTCATAAATAAAACATAACTTGGAAAGGGAGTTAAAAATAAATGCCTGACCTTGGATAATTTTTCCTCCACATTTGCTTCTTTATGTATTCTATCCATCATTTTGTTAATAATCTTCTTCTCTTTGCAGGGATCAGCAGATTCATACACAAGCAGACCATCAGATTCTGATGTATCTCTGGAAGAGGACAGGGAAGCCATCCGCCAAGAGAGAGAACAGCAAGCAGCTATTCAGCTTGAAAGAGCAAAGGTATCCCCCTCCCTCTCATTTGTTCCTCTTGTCTCCTTCCTTTTATTTATTTACCCCCCCCCCCCCAATTTTTAGATTTCAAAAGAGAGAGAAAAATTATGCCATGGGGAAATCCAGCCACACCTTCAGTAATTTTCTGGAGTGGGTGGGTGGGTTATTTTTCAGCATAAAGTACCTTTTAAATCAGTGGTTTTGTGATACCGTCTCTCTCTCCATCTGTACGTATTTGTGAACAGGTTTTATAATCAAAAAGCCCCCTGGAACTCACACTATCTTCTGTCTGCCCTGTGAGAAAGATCAGGCCAAAAAATCGATGACATTTATGTCTAAAACTACTGTTTTGGAACAGTTATAGTAACAGAATTTGGAAATCTGAATGTGCTTCTTCCTCTCTCCCTTTATCTTCATGTCAAGTAGGAAAGGCTTGTCTGAGGTGTTTTTTCAAATTAGTTTCTTGGAATAGACTCAAGCCAGGCTTGTCTGACTATTGTCTTGGTAGGGCTGTTCCTCCTGTCCTTCAAGGCCATTCTCCCTGCCTCTTATATCTTCTGTTATATCACACCTTATCCTAAAGTCGTCTAACTTAATAATCTACCATATTTTTTGGAGTGTAAGACGCATCTTAATTTTTGGGGAGGAAAATAAGAAAAAAGGTGATGGGCAGATGGATTGGCCTCCTGGAATACCCCCAATCAGCTGTTCCCAGAGGTGAATTTTAGCAACAGGTTCCTTGGTTGTGAGCTCTGTGCCTTTTTTTTTTTTGCCTTTTTTTCTGCCTCTGAAACTTCTGAAACTCTGTTTCAGAAAAAACTTTTTTTCCTGCTTCTGAAAGCCTCCGAAACAGAGCTTCAGAAAAAAAGCCTCTGAAACTCTGTTTGAGGGCTTCTTTTCTGAAGCTTCGTTTCTGATGCTTTTTTCAGCCTCTGAAACCTCCATTTGAGAAGCCGGGTGGGGCTACATTCGGAGTATAAGACGCATCCAGATTTTTACCCTCTTTTTTGGGAGAAAAAGGTGCGTCTTATACTCCGAAAAATACGGTAACTGCTGAAATTGAGTGGAGAGGTGTTTTTGTTTATTAAAACAAACATTCCTCAGATATCTCATATTTAAAAGTTAGAATTTTCATGCTCCCCATAAAAATTCTTAAGATTTGCCCAGCCTCCCTAAAGGTTAATTCAGTCGCCAGAAGGTTTCTTGCCCTACCTCTCTAACATTTGTGTAACACTTGTTGCCCTCTTTACAGAATGTTCTTGGTATTGTTGTTAGATGTTCTCTGTTCATACATACATATGGACTCTCATGTGTAGGTGGTTACATTTAAGAGCCAATATATATATATATTTACTGACATGAGGTAAGTGGAGAGCAGATTGATGCAATGATGCTTCACTAATCTGGGAAATAGTTATATATAACTCACAAAGGCACTTTCATTAGCCCAACTCTTTCTCAGATGATGGGCATTATTATTAAGCTTGAGTATATACATTTGCAAGAATTCAGAAAGCATTAGCTGAAACAAGTATTAAGATGGAAAATGTTTAAAAGTACGTAAGCACACATAAGAGCATAGGGAAACATTGGAGTTGGGCAGCTAAGAAAAAAAGGACTATTTTCAGTGAAAAGTGGAAAATGTTTGGTGAATTGGATAGAATTAGATATTGTGAGTGGGTTCCTGTAAGTGACTGCAGACGGGAAAGCATTGCTCATCTATAAACTGATTGGAAGGAGGACATTAAAAGCAGATTAACTCGTTTGAGTCAAGCTCAGTTCCTGGTGACTTATAAAGACACGTTCTGGACAACAGTATAATTAAAAATTGCCACAGTCTTCTTCCAGAATATATGTGTGTGTGTGTGTGTGTGTGTGTGTGTGTGTGTGTGTGTGTGTGTAAAGCTGTAATCCATATTTACGTACCTTTGTGTCATCTTCAGAAAGCAGACATGCTTGCAAATAAAGTACTGATTAGCAGCTGCCCATCAGTTCCAATGTCTAAAGGAAGTTATGGTGCGAATTGAAAAACCGGTTTTTCAATCCAGTTCAATCCAGTTTCCAATTTTCAAAGCTAATTAGCCCACCAAAATGTCTGTGGATATATTGGTAACATATGATGTCATCGTGTTTGGGGAGCTCAGTTTTGAAAAGTACAGCCAGAGCAGACAGCAAGGAAGATGTGAAAAGAAAAACACGTGTCCCAGCTGAAAGATAGTTGGAACCCTTCAGACAAAGATGACAGTATTTATCCTGAGCTGTGAAATTTTATGGCAATGTGAAACTATTTATTCATTTGTTTAATCTATTTATATGGCTGCTCATCTTGCAATAGCAGCTCTTGATGGTTCTAATAAAAGACAAGCTGTTATAGAGTAAAGAGGGTAATTTGCTGAATTTGGAGCTGCAATGAACTTCTTGACTGTTAAGGAGGATATTCATGTTTCCCAATTGGGCTCTTTTTTCCACACTGGATTCTGTAACACAGCATCTTTTCAGATGGACAGATGCTCTTATAGATTGGCATTTGTCAGATACTAAAGTCCACCTAAAGAGGGTTTTTTTCCAGACTAATTAACAGAGAAATGCAGATGACTCTCTTTAATTTAAAGAACAGATGAATTAACTGAACCAGAACAGGCATAATCTTTTACTCCTAGCAATTGTTAGTAATTCTGATTGGGTAGCATTTTTCAGAACAAAATGAGAATTTGGAACTAAACTGTTGAAGAGTAATTAAAAAAAGCAGAGAAGGTATCAAAAGGCATGTCATTAGAGACCCAGCGTATCTGAAACTATAATATTTACTGAGATATGTAAGGGAAACCAAGTTACTAATAAGTAAATGAAAAATCACCAAATTATAATTTTTCCTGTAATGGGATCCCATTCAATTAATTTAAGGTGGAGGTCTGTACATATTTTGCAAGGGAAAAGACAAAGTTGCAAAGTCAGCCCCACACAATTCAGATGTTTGATATCTGTGTTTTTTCTCTAAGGAGGATCACAGATATTGTGTGTGTTTTGCCAAGTAATTTCATACTTGGCATCTACGTATATATTTTTGGTACTTTAAAATACATTTAAAATACCATTAACATTTTCAAAAGATAGCATCCACTAGAACCGTTGGGCTGCTATCTTAGTAACAATAGAGAAAGAAACTGATTTATGAGTGATTTAATAGTTTATCTAGTGATGAAATGTAGTGAGTTTAGCAATCACTGAAGATTTGCTGGATTCAGAAATTATTGTAGTTTAAGTTGATGATGAAATGTAACTCATTCTGCTGCTACAATTAGCGATTCTCTACCTTCTTTCCATGGTTCAGTTCCCCATTTCCTCCTGCTGACTGCTTAAATAGGGCACTTTGCAACACACCTTTTTTGAAGTCAGCAAAAAAAAAAAGAAAGAAAGAAAGAAAGAAAGAAAAAAGAAAAGAAAAGAAAGAAGCAGCAGGAGAAACTGATTGAACTGACTGGACTGACTGTAAAATAAACTACTTTGTTATCTGGATCCTGTATAAATTTCCCTAAATCATACACATTGATTGCAAATAAATGACATAATCTCTGAAAGTATGGCTGGGTTCACATGTCATGTTAATCTAGAATGTGGTGTGTTTGCTTTTAGCTTTGTGTGATATGTGAAGTGGGTCATTCTAGCTTGAGCAACATGTTTTTTTAAAAAAATTTGTGTGAATTCAGCCAGGTAGGGTTTAGAAATTAGAAAATAATTAATATGTATTTGAGACCAATCTAATTGTCATGCAGTGTTTAATGTTCAGCTGAATGATTGTTGTGCATAATAGTATACATTTGTCCTAAGAAAACAGTATAATACAGAAGAAACCAAACCTTCAGAACTATTCTGTAGTTATAAAAATGGTCATGTCCTAAATTGCCATTCTCTGGCTGAATTTTAGGGCATTGCCCTTTCAGGCTCCTATGCAGTGTATTTCTGAGATGGTGATAATGAGCTGCTGATTTTTTTATTTGTTTCAGTTCTTTTATTCAGTATTAAGTCATTTTAGTATTTATTTTATTTTACCCAATTCCTTATCTCCCTTTCCCCCTTACTTTACTTTTAATAATTAGAAACTGTATTTCTTTCCTAGTCCAAGCCTGTAGCATTTGCTGTAAAGACTAATGTCAGCTACTGTGGAGCGCTAGATGAGGATGTTCCCGTACCAAGCACTGCCATTTCTTTTGATGCCAAGGATTTCCTACACATTAAAGAGGTAAATCATATAACCAAATGCTCTTTTTTTTCCTCCCCAGGAGCTTGAATCTAAGGAAGGTTTGGCTGTGCAAGGTAGAAAACGAAGTGGAAAAACAGCCAATGTTTTATACAGCAGGGCACTCATTTAGAAAAGACTGGCCCAATCTTGTTGTTCATGAGGAGTATTGACTTTCAACCTTCCTAATTTTCAACACCATGGCCTTTTAGTCATTCATGCCTGGAATTATGGGAGTTGAAGCCAATCTATCTCAGTAGCTTTGCTTTGGTAAAGGCTGGATGAAAGATTGCTATTAGGAGCTGCTTATCTTGAGTGACATTTCAGCTTAGAGGTTGTATACTTGAGAATGTGACATTTGAAGCCAGAGAAGCCTCAGTGAGACCAATTGGGGTTTGATCTCATTCATTATTCCTTGAACAACAAACAACAACAACAACAAAAAATATAGGCTCTTACACTACTGGATTTCCTTAGTGAATAGTTAGGAGTCCTTGGGGTGCCATGAGGAGTAAATGGTTTTATTTGTGCCTTGCTTTAAAAATACTACCTTTGCATTTCATATTTTTAGAAGACATAAAGGTAGCATATGAATAGGACTTCAGTGCCATCTCTCTTTTGATAGTCAACTAATACCAGAACATTTATTTTGTAAGTGGTTTAGTTATTTTTGCTGTTTCTACTTTGTTTGTGGGAAGACATCCTTCTCTTCCATCCTTACTAGGTAGAAATGATTCCATCTCACGCTAAGCTTTTCTCATTATTTCATGCAAGACTAATTTTACCAATTACAGATCTATATCACTGCAACATTACAAAATTTATTATTATTTGGGAGTACCATTAAGTTGAATGGTAGTTATAGTAAAACAGAATGTACAGGATCTTGACCCTTGTTGCCAATGTTCAGATTCAATCTTGAGATGAAGCTGGGTATGTTTTATTTTGTTCAGTGGAGAAATCTGGAACGAAAAAACACTCAGGGCAAAATCTAATTCCAAAGTGGAGCTATGTAAGTTAGTTTTCTAAAATAAAAAATGTATTCTCAATATTTTTTTTATTGAACTAACTTTCAAATGAGGATCAGGAGGATTAGGTTATGATCACAACTTTATGTTAATTTCTAATTATTATGGACAAAGAGCGTTTATTGCAAATAACCAGAGGAATCCTGTGATTAGGATGAGAGGTAAAGGTACACACTTAAGAGAGCCTCTGCCCTTTTACAACCCCCATCCCCAAATGCTGGTTCTTGGCAGTATTTAAGTGGGCTCTTATGGCTGAAACACAGTGCTTTATGGTACATATAATTGTTTTTAATAAGACATAAATTATACTCTCCTTGGTGTTTGACACTGAGCTTGGAAATTATGTATTAGAACAACGTGCAACTATATCACACACTCAGCCCCTCCCCCACTTCCCCTGAACAAGATGATGGAAAAATGATTGAATAAGTTTATGCCACTGCTTGAATTAACGGTTTCTGGAGGCTGTGCGTATGCGTGTATTTTGGATCATAAGTCCTTAGGGACCAGACACCCTTAATTGTGTCTAGTTCAGACATCAAGCAAAGTCACTTTGGTAGCAAGCTAAAATGTCAGCAAGAATGGATAACTGCATATTGAAGACGTCTCATTCATCAGCCATTAGATAATATATTATGTACTTTTAAACAGACTATGTGGCAACATTTATTGCAATGCATAAACCTCTCATGCTCAGTTACCAATAGAAAGAAGATAGATCTCTTCTTTGTATACTGCCAAGTGCATCTGTATTTATTTTTATGGATTTTTTTTTGTTATGTATACTGGCCAGAGTTCATTGGAGTTGGGTGGCTGATATATTTGAAGAAATGAAGGAATGAATACATGCTTTGAAGAACATAAAGGAAAGCGCTTTTAATGAAATAAACATCGGTATTCATGTAACATCCAATTAAATCAACTTTGTAAATAGAACAGATTTTTTAAAAAAGCAGTCTATAGAAATCTGGTAGTTCTCCTGATACATCCTCATAAATCCCCACAATTAATAAATGTATGAAGTGTTTCTGATATAACAGCTCTTGAACTTGCGTCTGTGGTGAATCTCACAGGTCTCTCTTTTGCCTTTTGCTTTTCTCCTTAGCTACCTCATCATTGTCTTGATCTGCTCAATAGAGGCACAAAAAGCCTCTGCTTTATATGTCCATTGGGTTACACATTCTTCAGTGTGAATTTACTTCTACCAGTGGGGGAAATGGGGGAAGGAAGATACAAAATTGTAACACTGGGATATTGGAGAGAAAGGAAATCTAGAGGAAAATTAGGGTCATAATTTGGTTCTTCCATAAATGCATAAATGCATGCCTACATAAGGATCTGTAGAAAGTTCTGTTGTAGGTAGCATAACATCAACAGCTCAGAAGTTGGCAGCCTTTGAGGGCGAATGTGTCATTTTGAGGGTACTATGTCCCTTTCACCAAATGCCTGCCCCTAGGACCTACCCTGTTTTCCCAAAAATAAGATATCTCCTGATAATAAGCCCAATCAGGCTTTTGAGCGCATGGCAATAAGGCCAAGCGCTTATTTCAGGGTTCAAAAAAAATATAAGACAGGGTCTTATTTTCGGGGAAACACGGTACTTCCCTATTCATAAAATCCCACGGTGAATATGACCGTTCATAAAACACCCATATATTTTTCCCCTTCAGATGGCTACAGCTATTCAAAGTTTTTATTTTCTAGGAAAGCTTGCAAGGTTTACGTGGGAGCCATATACATTCTTGTAAAATAAAGATTTCGAAGCTGGCGCTTCCATTTTGCAGAACACCGTCTTCCCATTTATTTATTTTTTTCTAAATAAAAGAATGCTTTTAAAAAGTCATTGGAGCAGGGAGTCTGGCTAACTTCATTTGAGATATCCAAGGCAACACTATCCACTTCTCAGGAAACAGTCTATGGAGAGCACCAGTGTGAAACTAATATTAGTTAAGACTCACCTGATTTTTGAATTGAACCAAAAGGGCTTCTTTCCTTAAAGTGATGGGGCTAGAACCAAAACTAAATCAGATATTTTAAATTATATAAATTTATATTTAGAAAGTCCACGGTAATATAATTACATAAACTTGAGTGCTTATTAAGATAGTTAATTTATTACTCCCTATATAATTTAATCATTTCTCACATCTTCAAATTAAAGGTTTCAGTTCAGCAGCAAAGCTACAGCTTTGATTTAAAATATTGTAGAGGTTATACAGGAACCAATTATGGTGGGAAGGGATGTAATAATGGGAAGAGAGAACAGGACAAGGCATGCCAAGCTAAGTGGAAAGAAAGGCAAAGGAAAGACAGAAACAAATATTTCCTTTGTTACAGAAATATAACAATGACTGGTGGATAGGAAGATTGGTTAAAGAAGGTTGTGAAATTGGATTCATCCCAAGCCCATTAAGGTTGGAGAATATTCGGATCCAGCAAGAACAGAAGAGAGGACGTTTTCACGGAGGGTAAGATAATATACTGGCTTTATCAAAACTGTCTTTTTAAATATTAGCTGAATTCAGCTTTTCAGTGATTTGCCCATTACTTGTAAGCTCTCAAAATGTGGCATTTGTTTTCTGACAGATGAGAAACTATTCAAATTGGGGCTAACAAAATTGGGACTTCAGGTCTTTGTAAAGGATTAGATCACTGTTCCTGAATTTTTGTGCCACCAGAATGGACTTGACTGATCTCAAAATTTCTGGCTAATATAGTGAATAATGTTGCCCTAGATGGGAATTCAGCGACATCTGGAATACACCAGCATTTAGTAGCCTAGTTTTGATTGTGCATGCAATTGCTCTGTCTTTTTGGCATTCTATTTACATACTTCTTTCTTTCTTTCTTTCTTTCTTTCTTTCTTTCTTTCTTTCTTTCTTCTTTCTTTCTTTTTTCTTTCTTCTTTCTTTCTTTCTTTCTTTCCTTCCTTCCTTTCTTCTTCCTTCTTCCTTCCTTCCTTCTTCCTTCCTTCTTTCTTTCTTTCTTTCTTTCTTTCTTTCTTTCTTTCTTTCTTTCTTTCTTTCTTTCTTTCTTTCTTTCTTTCTTTCTTTCTTTCTTTCTTTCTTTCTTTCTTTCTTTCTTTCTTTCTTTGATTTATATTGCCGCCTATTCGCCCATGGTGACTCAAGGCGGCTTACAGAATATAAAAAAAACACATTTAAAAAACAGTAAAACTCATAAAAAATCAAATAAATTAATGTAATAAAATCACCCCTGACTCCTGCCCCAGTGACAGCCGATCACACAAGCCACTTAATGGGCTCCATCCCGCTCTGGGTTCCCCTGGCCCGCTGGCAGAACCAGGTCTTCAGCGCCCTCCAGAAGAGAATTAGGGTGGGGGCTGTTCTAATCTCTGGGGAAATGATGTTCCAGAGAGAGGGAGCCACCATGGAGAAGGTGTATTTCCCTCAGGGATGGGACCCCCAACATTCCCTGCCTCCCCGTTCTAATGGGTCGGGTAGATGTGACCAGCAGGAGATGGTCTCTCACGTAACCTGGTCCCAAGCCATGAAGGGCTTTAAAGGTAACAACCAGCACCTTGAATTGCACCCAGAAGCAAATCGGCAGTCAATGCAGCTCCCACAGGAGAGGTGATGCATATGCACACTGGTGTCTGCCCAAAACCGAGTCAGAAATTTACAGAAATCCTTAGCTGCATTCATTTGTTACAATAGAAGTTTATTATTAGACTAAAACCAATTGTCAGTAGGAAATGTCCTACTCAATTTAATGGCACATAATCCTAGATGGGAATATGATTACTCTGTAAGAAAATATATCATCAGTCTGCCCGATTTTTATAGATTGTACTGCTTCCCCTTATAGGAAATACAAGATATTTCATTTCATTTCATTTTGCATACAGCCCATTATTTTAACTTGTCAGATATCACAGATGATATTAATGACAGGTTTAAGCATTATCCACCACGTGCCATTGACAAGTCTTATAGCACAAGTAGTACAAATGATATTAATGGCACATAAGGAACACAATTGTTTACAATTGCTTAACACATTGCAAGCCGCCCTGAGTCTCCGGAGAAGGGCGGCATATAAATCAAATTTAAAAAAAAACAAAACAATTGCGACTGGCAATTCAATTGTTAAGTGAGGTGGTCATTGTGAAGCATGCAAATAACAATCATATGACCATGGGGCACTGCAACAGCCATAATTCCCACCACTTGCAAAGCATCTGAATTTGAGTCATCGGAGCCAAATGAAATGAATTACTTCCACCAACAAAATCAAGTTCTGTTCAAAATCAAGTTCAAAATCCAGGTGGTTTTTTTTTCATAGCTCTTCTAAGTATAACTCTCAGAGGCCTCCTTGAACATAACGGCAGTTGCTATAGTGCATAATCTCAAATCTCACAACCTTTCACTTAGTCAATTCCAAGTAATTGCCAATTACTTGGAACTGACTAATTACCCAGCTCAACCTGAAATTAAGGATGGAAGGAAACATTGTAGGCCTATGTAACCTTCAGGCACATGTAAATAGTACCAAACTCCTGTTGTGCAACATTCTCACAGTGATCCAAATATTTAATGGGGTTCTTTATAATATAGGAAGTCAAGTGGAAATTCATCTTCAAGCCTTGGAGAAATGGTGTCTGGTACGTTTCGAGCTACACCCACTACCACTGGTAAGCTTTCAAAATTTTCAGAGGAAATAAATTCCAAATAATTTTGATTTGGGAGGTCCTACATATAGTTCTTATGCGAATCTGCTTTGTGCTGATGAGAGTCATGCGTGCCTCTTAGATGGACAAAAAAAACGCATTCGTGTAGACTGGCCCTCAGAATAATTGTACAGTGTCTGTGAAGGATTTTCAAATAGACCCTACTGTTTTGTCTCTTAAGAATAAAACTAGTCCCTCCCCATTAAAGATTTGATATCAAAATGTTCTGATTCTGAAAATCTCAGTATGATGTCTGCACGCATGTGAGGCTGTTACCGTCTTTGCACTTTACTCAACATACTTTTTAGTTGTGTGCCTTAGGTGGAGCACAAGGCAGTAATTTGAAATATGTCTAATGTATTCTTATTCTGGGAAAGAGCAAGAGAAAGGGACCTGTGGCAGCATGGAGCATCTATCAATTTTCTTTGTGTGGGTGCCACCAATTGCACATGTTTTTCAGACATGTCAATTACTGAGGTTTCAGTCTCGGGGACAATGGTCCCTGATAAGCACCTGTTGTCAAAGGCTTTCAAGAGCTGGATTACTGAGGGGAGAGAAACTATTTGGATATAAATGAAGGGTGAACAAATGGCTTATACACCCCTTAATTTCTCTCTTGAATGGCTTCCCAGAGATCCCGGACTTTACATCACTGAAATATGGCATATTGATGAATTGTAGTCGATAATTTGGTAGGAAATGAAAGGAAATAGGTATGCTAAGCCTCGGAGAATTCCAGTCGCATCCATTCAGATGCCATTATTATACCCAACCTCAACCTCTTCAGCCTTGCTAAGTGATAAGGATAATAATCTAAAATTGCCATTCTCAGCCACAAAAGTGGAAATGGATATATACTAAAGGTGCAACTTTCTGAACAATTGATGGGAAGTGAGGAACAAGGCAGATATCCTGAAGTGGATGGAAGGAAGGAGTAGCTAAAGACAGAGACTGATTCATTTCTCAAGCAGCAGCAGAAAGTCACAGGGGTTTCAACTTAGATGTCTCCCCACACCAAATTATTTTGCAAATGAATTCATTTTTGTATGGCTGCTATGCAGCAATTAAACAAAATCATCTTTTTTTCTTATCTTTCAGCAAAACAAAAACAAAAAGTGGTAAGTACACAAGCGCTCCCTAAAGCCCACTAAAAATTTCTTACTGTACTCTTGCAAAGAGGTGATGTTTACTAAACATATTTTTTTTCAGACAGAACATGTGCCTCCTTATGATGTTGTCCCATCCATGAGACCTGTTGTGCTTGTTGGCCCTTCTTTAAAAGGCTATGAAGTAAGTGCGCCTGTTAATAACTGACATTCCAGACTTCTTTTAAACTGTATCAAATTGTTTGACCATTTTGTGTGATCGGAGTGGGATCAGATTATAGCAACTAAGGTTGTCTTATGTTTTCCCTCATCTGATAACTATACAAATATATTTGAATTTAATGCAAATATTATCAAGCCAGCTGTGAAACTTCAGGCACACACATCTGCAGTGCCCAGTTTGGGCAAAGCCTCTTTGCCTTACTATTTCCTGAAAGTAAACACAACTCAGTGTATCTGTGTATTGACTGTGTTTATTCGTAACTACTCTCAATCGCTTTCATGTGCACACCCTTGCTACTCAAGGGTTACTCTGTGAATTCCTTAACAAAGGTTTATTACTGGGTAAATCTGAATCAGATAAAGTAGTCTAATATCCATGAAATGAATAAACCGAGATTTGCAGAGAAAAGGGAACTGTCTTGAGAAATAGATGGCTTTGCCAGAGCTGCAACATATTCCCTCCTTTAAAAAAAAACCTACTGTTAAGGAAGATACATACTTTCTTAGATAAAATGGACATCAATCTTTCATATGACTTTTTGTTTGTCTTAAAACAGAAACAAAACATATGCACGACAGATGGTGCGTAAGAGGAAGGATTTAAGCTTTGCTCACTTGGAAATTTTAAAATGTTTGTTTAAGTGCACAAAAGATATCTCCCATGGTGCCTCCCAGGTCCCTTGCTTCCAGTCTACAGTTTCATGTCTAGAGTGTTATCTTTAATTTTAAACAAAAACTTAAAAGGAGCTGGTTTGCTGTATAGCATAGCATCAGCCTCTATAATCATCTTTGTTTCCAGTGACTTTGCAATGGGTCCGATAGGTGTAAAAAAAATAGTGGGAGACTACAACCCCATATTTTGTTTACAGTGTGTCCATTTACCCAGGAAAAACAAAGGAAGTTGGATGATGATTGAAAAACTTCTAGGGCAGAGGTGGGGAATTATGGCCCCTTTATGACTTGTTGGCTGGCTCAGGAATTCTGGGAGTTGAAGTCCACAAGTCATAAAAAGATCATAGTTTCCCACTCCTGATCTAGGGGGACAGAATGCACTTTTGGATGAAGTGTTTTGTAATTGAACCTATCCACTGTGGCAGCTGTCTTTTTCTCTTTCCTTTCTTCTGTGCAGACTGGTCTGTTTTGCATCTACTGCTAAACCATGATTTACACACACACACACACACACACACACACACACACACACACACACACAGTCTGATGGATGTGCCTCCATGATTGATGCATCTTGGTTACTTTTGCATAACTGTCTGGGTTACATTTATGTTTGCATTGGGATGAGAGAGAAAGGGAAAGAAAAGCGATTTTTTTAAATCCGGAGACTCAGGGCGGCTTACAATGCGTTAAGCAATAGCCTTCATACTTTTGTATATTTTTATACAAAGTCAGCTTATTGCCCCCACAAACTGGGTCCTCATTTCACCTACCTTAGAAAGGATGGAAGGCTGAGTCAACCTTGAGCCTTGGAGAGATTCGAACCAGCAGTAAATTGCAGGCAGCTGTGTTAATAACAGGGTGCGTAAACCACTGTACTATCAAGGCTCTTTTAGAAGATTTTTAGAAAGAGAAGAAATAAATTTTGGTTATGTTCACTACTAGCTCTGATCTCACCTACTGTAGTGATGTGAGCACCTGAACATTTCCCCTACCCAAAATTATTTTTACACACACACACACACACACACACACACACACACACACACACACACTTACCTATTCCTGGTTTATGGATATAAGATGGGATCATGAAACATGGATTAAAGTTGGTCTGTTTTGCTAAATCATAATTAATCTTAAATACGGGTTGGTTAAGTCCAGACATAATAGCTGGATTAATGCATAATACTAAACCATGTGGTTTGTTTGATGATGGTTCAGTTGGGTGTGCAAATCCAGCCATGATGGTGATTTCACATATTAAGACTTAGTGCCTAAATATTTCAGTAGAAAAATAAAATGCTCTCAATTTCTTGGGGATTTGGAGAACAGAAAAATGCATCCTGCAAAAGGAACAAGATAAACTTCAGGTAGCTGTCAATAAAGATACTTCTTATCAAATTTAGCGGAGTTGATGATTTCTTTCATTTTTATCCTGCCCTTCTATCCTGTATGGGTGCATTTAAGCATTTAAGTTAAGTAAGATTTGGCTTTATTTTCCCCTTCTAACTCTATAGTTTAGATCTCAGTCAGAGAACAACCTGCAGCATGAGCTAGCAAAGAGGAATCATTTCTGACAGTTTCTGGCAGGCATAAACTGGAACCGAGGATTGCCAACATATTCTGGAAAGCCTAGAGAGTAGTTGTGTATAAAAAGCAGACCAATTTGTGATATTTTGTGTTCTCTCATTTGCAAGTGCCGAGGCATGTCAGAAAACTTCCAGGATCTGCTGCAGAATATTTAGTTCTTTCTGTCTACCTAGAAAATGTCCGTTGAAGGAGAACTAACTTGCTAAAAGCACCGCAATCGGTGTATAGAACTTAAGAGTATCTGCGATGCCTTACTTTTCCACTTTCTTCTTTGACTTGGGACTTCTTTTTCTCTGTTGTTGATCTTATTACTTCAATTTTTTTGATCTCTGCAAGGTGACAGACATGATGCAGAAAGCCCTGTTTGACTTCCTGAAGCACAGGTTCGATGGGAGGTGAGCGGTAATGTTCTTTTCTCCCCGTTTTGTATTCATGGTTCTCCCTAGAAGGCTTCTAGATGGATGTCTCAGTCAAGGGTATTATTATACTCTGTAACTGATTTCGGCTGCCATAGCATTATGTATAGAAGCATACGTGCATGAAAGCACATATATCCATTTATTTATTTTATTTATTTAAAGTGTTTTTATACTATTTCTTTCTGTAATCATTATATTATATATACTTAATAGGACTAACTGATTAGATATTTTAGGATGTAGTATAAATACCCAAAGTAAATAAAATGTGATTGTTCAAGTTAATAAGCGCATCTGCCATCTTATGCCTAGTTCTCTTGCAGAACTAAACTCAGTGTACTTATTTCTGTCTGTATGGATTCAACTTGTAAAATATGTATCGAATTTTAACAAAATGTTTTCCGCTGAAATGAATATTTTAAAACTTGACTTTTGAGCTTTCTGTTCAGTAAAGTTAGATAAAACTCTGTTGTTTCCTCTAAAAAAAAAGAAAGAAAATACAAAATCTGGCTCAAACAAATGTTGCCACCTAATTCATTATCAAAGGACTGAGAACTGAAGTTGACCCAAATTCCTAGGAATTATAGGAATTAAAAGGTAGGACAAACATTTCTGGGAATAAGAAAGTAAAAAATGGAAGTAGTTTAAAGTTTGGAAATTTTTAATTTCTTTGGCTTAATCATGCTTCATCATACTGTGGTTCTGTCACTTATATGAGCCCTATAAAATTGTCCAGGTTTTTTTTTGACAAAAATATTCGCTCTCATTAGTCTAGCTTTTTCACAGAACTTAGTCTCTGATGAATCCGTGACTGGTTGCCTAGTTCTATTAATCTGAAACTAAATCTTGCTTGTTCTTCATCTAAGGAAGGTTATTTGCATGTTTAATAATTTCAGATCCAGGCTTAATTAACTTCTTCAGATTGCAGCTTTAGGATTTCTCAAGCTTTTCTCTCCTCTAAGCATTCATTTTAGATTGCTCACTGTTCCAGCTCCTTAGGTAATCCTTACTATTGAGTTGGATGGAATAGGAAAACATCGCCCTCTGGAGGAAAGATATATACTGTATCTCCCATTAGATTTTAATAGCTGAAGTGGTCTTTGGATGAAGGGGTCTTTGTGAACAACAAAGTCTGGGTTTTGAAATTAAGCAGTATTGGGCTTGATTAATATTGGGATAGGAGAAGTCCACCAAAAACCATAGGGCTATAGACGAGACTAAGAAATCAGAAAAAGGCAGTGGTGTCCATGAAAAAATCTACCCTTTTCAAGATCAGGTTAAGAGCACAATGAATTGACAGGTCCCAACTCCCAATCTGCACATGATTGATCATATGTGAGCAGTGATGAAATGTACCCTATGAGTTTATGATACAAACATCAGGCATCAGGTTGCAAATATTTAAGAGTGGCACCTATGTCATGGCATCATTTCTTGCACTATGCCCTTTTGACCTAATCTTGGTTTGTTGCAGATGCTTATGCACATTAGATATGTTTATGCATATGCATGCTCCTATACACACATATTTCAAGTTAAGAAGCTGTTTTATACCAGCACCATGATACATTTAAAAAAATTATGGCAGCTAACAGCACTTAGTAAGGTCTTAGGAGTCTGGATCTGAAGATATGAGGAGGGATTGGAGATTAGAAATGCTAGTAGTGTAGAAATGCTGTATCCCACAGAAACACAGACTGATTCATTATGAAAAGAATGGCTATCAAAAGAGGTCAGGATACTTATAGATGAACAGGTAGTATGAACCTAACATTTTGAGATACTATGTAGATCAGCAAATCTCCTCCCAATTTCTTGCTGCTAAAAAGTCACTACGTTCTTATTATGAATATGAAAATTTATAATCTCTGGAAATACAACTTTCTTACATTGCATGAGAATCCAAAGTAAATCTCAAAGGACTAGCTCTGCAGTGAGTGGCGTCTTATTCGCGTACATCATAGCCAAGTAGCATCTAGTGATTTGTGTCCCAAAGCCATTGTGGGACCACTAAATCTGAAAACATGATATGAGCTCTCCTACTAGAATTCAGGATTTTAAGACATCTTCTTGCATCATGTTTGCTCCCATCCATCTTCTGTCTATCTCAAGTATATTTTAATAGCACCTATAAATCTGGTGACAGCATTTCTGAATTTTGAAACTGCTTTTTCAGTTGATCTTCTTAATTTACTGCTTAAATATTTCTGTGACATTTCTTAATCTGAAACGATGATACAAAATAAGTTTGAGTTTATGAAGAGATTTAATTACATTTTTGTTTTTAAAAAAATCCTTGCAAGATATACATTTCAGAAATATAGACTGCTTAGCCAAAAACAATAACAACAACAACAACAACAACAACAACAACAGTATTTTACCTATTTTCCGGAAATTCATCTTGGCCTTTACCTCATGGAATGATTCTGTGATATCTTTTCTCTGATGCAGAAGCAATAATAATACTGAAATATTTTTCAAAACTGTTGCAAGGATTACTGAGATCTAATTGAAATCTATATGGAAAAGGGCTGTATGAGACTATAGTAATATATATCAGTAAAAGGATTGTATTATTTTTTTCTTCTGCTCTACCCCCAGTACATTGGCTGTACTATTCATCTCCTGTGTGTTTGTTTTTTGCCCGTTAGGCTAGAATACAAATCAGTCAAATTATTTGGTGAGATTGTGACCAAGGCCAGTCCAGGCCGCCATGCCTACTTTTTGGAACTCATTTAATCCAAGTTGGGAAGCTAAAAGGGAGAAAGATGCAAGGGATGGTAGAAATGACAGGGCAAACCTTAAAGCCTCATAAATATAAGGATTATCCTGGCCATTTTACACTCTGAGGTAACACTGTCAAACTAGTTACTAAATCTGCATTACTATTAATCTTCTCATCGTTCCTATCAATCATCTCCTCCCACTTATGACTATGACTGTAACCTTGTTGCTGATATCCTTAAGATTTGTTGCTTTTGGTTAAGAAATTAATTGCAACTAACTCTTCCCCTTGGAAAAAAATAAAAAAACCCAGGAGTTCTTCCCTTTGAACTGGGGGAACAGGCAGGGATGGGAATGGAGCGCTTTTACAATTTCCTTTTCTTCCTTTCTAAATCTTGAATGGGATGTTTGCCAACATCTCCCCCCCTTTTTGGGAGTGGGAATCAAGGCCGTAAATTATTCATTATCATTAGTTATCGATTTGGATAACTGACCTGAAAAGGGTTTTTCTTCCTCTCGAAAAAAAAGCCAGATTTGGAAGTCTCCCTCTCCTTCTCCCTCCTTCTCCTTCCCATTTCACTAAGGCTGTTCCTTCCTTCCTTCCCCCTCTAGCTGATTTGTTGGGCCCTAACTATCCCAGGTGTCAAAAAACCTAGGACGAAATCTCCTTCTGTGTATGGGCTGCGGCGAAGCGCCTGGGAGGGAGTGGCCGTGGCCGTTGTGCCGTGGCGAAAGATTGGCGGAGGGCCAGCTGAGGAGAAAAGTTCGTGGCTAATAACCCAGAGGCGAAAACCTCGAGGCGAAACAGGCAAAGAGAAGGGATCAAGCTGAAAAGTCCCTTTCCGCCTGCTACTGCCAAGATCCTTAGAGCATATGATGCCTTTTCTTCACATTTGTTCAAATACTGAAATGGCTTTCCCGAAATAAACGAGGGAGGAAAGATGGAAAAGTTAGGCCAATTGGAAGCTCAGGTGTTGTCTCTCAGATTTAAAGTGAATATGCAAGTTTCTAACTGTTCTAACTCTGAAGGTGATTTGTGGTACCAAATGTTAGCTTCACAGGTTCTGTTGTTGGCATCAGATGGTAATCTGCTGGGTAAGAATTAAAAATTCTCAAAGCAGCTGGTAGTTGCTGGTAGATTCTTCCATTTTAGGCTACTTAAGCAGTATTTTATTTCAACAGCTAGCATGAAACAATTTATTACCATCTCAGAACATTATGTGATGGAGTATTTACTTTGGACTCATGCCACTTTAAAAGGACATAGTGTGTTTTTTTGATGTAGATGAAAAACACTTTGGAATTACATTAGTATAGATATTCTCTGTGTGTGCGTGTGTGTACATATACGTCAGAGTTCCAAAACCTTTCTGGCTTTGCGGACCAGTGGAGGGGGAGGTGAGAGAGGATGGTTCCAAGTGAGGGGCATTCAAGCACACGCACAGTTCCATTTGCATGAGCGGCAAGCAATTGCGTCAGCTGTTCACACAAATGAAGCACACGTGCTTGCCTCACTGCTTGCAGAAGTGGGGATGTACGAGTGCGCATGCTCGCCTACCACCTCTGCGCAGAGATGGGTTTCAGCAGGTTCTGACCAGTTCTGGAGAACTGGTAGCGGAAATTTTGAGTAGTTCAGAAAACTGGTAGTAAAAATTCTGACTGGCCCCGCTCCCATCTATTCTCTGCCTCCCAAGTCCCAGCTGATTGGGAGGAAATGGGGATTTTTCAGTAACCTTCCGCTGGGTTGGGGAGGGAATGGAGATTTTACAGTATCCTTTCCCTGCCATGCCCACCAAGCCACGCCCACAGAACCAGTAGTAAAAAATTGTGAAACCCACCGCTGTCTCTGCGGCCTGGTTCTGAAAGGCTCAAGACTGGGCAGTGGACCACAGCCTGGGGGTTAGGGATCCCTGATATATGCCATAGACACACACATCACATGCAGTTGAGGAGCACCAACTAAAGAACATGGAGGAAAGAAAAATAGAGCCAAATACATTCATATATCATTTATCCAAGAGCAGCTTTGAAGCTTCAGAGTGGCAGGTTAGGGCTTACAATTACATTCCTGGGCCAAGCTGTACAGCAGTAGATAAACCAAGGATGGGAATTTACAGGCATTTGTCAGTTTTGGATAATGTGGACTGTGTTTCATTTAATAGGAGCTACTGCTTAGAAAATACAATTGCACTCTTGACCTGGATACAGGAAAGGATTACAATTAACAGTACAGGTAGTCCTTGATTTATGGCAAAAATTGAGCACAAAGTTTCTGTTGTTAAGTGAGATGGTAGTTAAGTGATTTTACGACATAACTTGCCACAATTGTTAAGTGAGTCACTGCAGTTGTTAACTTAGTAATACGGTTGTTAAATGAATTCCGCTTCCCCATTGACTTTGCTTGTCAGAAGGTCACAAAAGGTGATCACATGACCCCAGGTCATAGCAACTGTCATAAATATGAACCAGTTGCCAAGCCATGATTTTTGGTCATGTGATCATTTGGATGCTGCAATGATCATAAGTCACTTTTTCAGTGCCATTGTAACATCAAACGGTCACTAAATGAACTGTTGTAAGTCAAGGACTACCTATAAAAAGCAAAAAACAAAAACCCCCAAAACATACTGGGTATCTCCAAAGCTGGATGCTCAAATTATCATCTTTATCTACCTGATTCGTATACAAAGAGTATTATTATTTATTGTGTTAATGCTTCTTACACAAGCATTATTTCATTTTTTTTTTAAAGTGACCAAAACATGGGCATTTATCATTTTAATTTGCCTGGCTAAAAGGAAAAAGAATGTGTGAATTTCCCTGATCCCATTTAATTGGTAGTTGCCTTATAAAAAGCAGATGCAGATACACCAGGAAGAGATATGTTATCCATATAACCCTGTTAAATGCCCTTTTTAAAATACAGGAAAATATATAATTAAAAGTCTCCGAATTTTAAAAAGCAGATGAGGTTTTGGCCTGGTTCACACATCAGCTAAGTCAGGGGTGGGCAGATTTTTGGCCTTGAAACTACTGCTGAACTACATTTTATAATAGGTCTCATACCTCCATTTAAAAATAAAGTGGTTGTTTAAGTTTGGTTCAGCACAGTTGCTTAAGCACCAAATTTTCCATGTGAATCGAACTGCTCTTACCTTTTTTAAGGATAAAACGACATATTGATTGAGTGCTGTTGTATTAAATTAGATGGCTAAATAAATTGCATTTGCAATTGCTTCTCACCTAGCAAAGAAAATAGAAATATGAATATTTTTGCATACACTATAGTATTGAACCTTCTTTCATTTGTTTATGCCTACAACTAAGAGAATGTGAGCAAGCCCTTTAAGGTGATCCTAGTTAAATAGGAGCTCCATTGGATGTTTCTGCAGTTAAATGCATCATATCACTGAATGTTAGTTTAGGTGGTGGTACTCATTAATATTTTCACTTTGCCTGGAGCTCTAAATTATCTTACTTACCATAAAGCTTGTTGCTTGGTTATGAGAAGGAAACGTTTATATTAAGTACAGAGCAAGCATTTCATCATTCCTGCTGACAGATGTCGTTTGGTGCAGCATTTAAATATGAAAACTGGGCATCATTGTTTTCCTATAGGAAACCATGGTAACTGGTAACTGTCAATGGCAAGTCAAGGGTTGCTATGAATAAATCATCTGCAGACTGTATTTTTGTACCACACGTGAAAAAAAACTGAGGAGCACCATAACCCATAAAGATCGGCCTTGTCTATTCAGCATAAAAGAAGGCGATTTGAATTTCTCTTAGGCCAGATTTTTTCACTTTTTCTGCTTTAAAGAAGAGTGTTTTGCCAAATTGAACATATGCCTAAATGTACATTTTATTGGACTAGTTCCTTCGTCCTTAGTAGGTCTCTTTAAATAAAATCTCTCCAGCTTTGAAGTTGATGTCAGTTCCCTTCTTATGAAGGCAGGTTAGCACTGATTTATAACAGTTGTTATTTCTTAGTGCATTTCTTGACTTTTCATTTTGTTGTATCGATTCACTTTTGCATCCACTTCCATATTGAAATTTTTTTAAGGCTTCATCAACCTTCTCTTTCATATCTTCACTAGATTGTCCTGTAATTGCTGTCAATCACAAACAGAATTGTTTCACGTTTGAATCAAATAGTATCATATTGTCAAAAACTTTTTTAATCTCTTGGTTTAATGTTTCTGACTTACCGTATTTGCACTGGAGAGTCTTCATTTTTTATTCATCTTTTGTCCAATCTCCCCATTCATCTTCAGTACAGAGTCTTCAATTTTTTAATTCATTTTTTTCTTCTTTGTTTACACATTTTTCCTCTATGCACTCTTCCTTATTTTTTCCCCTTTCGCTATATCCTCAACTCTTTGGACCCATTTAGCACTCTGTAGTTTTATAGTTAGATAATCTTTCATCTTATCTCTTTGCTTAACAAAACTAACTGTGTTCTTTGGCAAATCTAAACAATCCCCTTTCCCATGGAACTATGCATAATTTATTTAATTATTTCAACAGTACTTAAAAGTAAGTAATTCCAAACTGAACTGCCCCCTTTGTTCATTTTAAACTTTCCTGCTTTAAAGTTTTAGGCAGCTTTTTATTATTTTTAAATCCTCGTTTGTCTTGATTTAGTTTTAATCTTTAATCTTGGTGAAAGGAAACCTCACCAGGTCCTTATGATTTTCTGCTCAGAAGATCTCTGTAGCTTTTTAAAAAGGTTATATTTCAAATGTGTTTTAGAAAGTGGGGATTTGAGGGAACCCAACATCTTTAAAATAGGCTCTGCTGAGGTTGTGAGCCTGATGTTTCTTCCTTGGCTCTCAGTGATCATACTTATGAGGAGCCCTGCAAAGTTCTGCAGATCTCCTCACAAGGAACTGCCTTCCAGAATGCGCATGGGCCATCTCCTGGCTTCTCCTTATCCAGAGAAACTCCACTGCTTCTGGCTTACCCTCTAATCACTAATCTTCACCTCAGCATTGTCTCCACAGTTTGTAGGCACATCAGTGGTGAAATCCAAATCTTTTTACTACCGGTTTTGTGGGCATGGCTTGGTGGGCATGTCAGGGGAAGGATACTGCAAAATTCCCATTCCCACCCCACTCTGGGGCCAGCCAGAGGTGGTATTTGCTGGTTCTCTAAAATTCTCAAAATTTCCGCTACCGGTTCTCCAGAAACTGTCAGAACCTGCTGGATTTCACCTCTGAGGCACATCATTTCTCATTTTCCCCACCCGGAAGTCCCTTTCTACAATAATTTTAATAAAGTAAATATCCATATTGTATTTTGAAATTAAATTGAAGGAACACATTGTATACAGAAACAGTGAACAATAATGGTATGTACTTTGCTTTGTTCTGCTTTATGTTTGTTAGCATGGATGATGATAGGGTCTATCGGTAGTATTCTGTTGGCTTTTTCATAAAATGTTTTTGGTAAACGAAATAGCTTTGCTTTTCAGCAGAATTATTTGCCTCCCTGATCATACAGTATAGTGCTTCTTTTAGAATGTTGCGTTGTAAAAAGCAGTTTAACATTTTTTCACAAACAACTTGCATTTAAATCATTTTGTTCTGTCCTGTTTTTTGGTAGGATATCAATAACTAGAGTGACAGCTGACATTTCTCTTGCCAAGAGATCTGTTTTAAATAATCCAAGCAAAAGGGCAATAATTGAACGGTCAAATACCAGGTCCAGTTTAGGTAAGTTTATTTTTTTCCAGAAATAGATTGTGATAGTTTTGCATGGTGATGGCTATTTCCTCACCCCCCCCCAATTATTAAAGAAGTATTATCTTCTGTTACAAAAACATGGAATTGCCATGCTCTGATCCTTGCCAAGAGAGGAGACAAGGACAAGACAGTTGCCAGTGCTTCATTTTGGAAGCAGAAGATACTGCCCTTAACTCCTTCAAGTCCTCAGGAGGCTTGCCTTGGACCCAGCAATTTTGAGCAAATACTGTCCTGTCCCTCACTTTCCCTTTCAGAGGAAGATGGTAGATCAACATTACCAAGGATTCTGGAAAAATCAGATTGTTTATATTGTTGGGCAACAGTTTTAGCTCTGAACATGGGATGGAAACCACATTAACAACTCTTGTGGATGACCTAGTGGGGAGAGAGAAATAGCCTTTGGTCTACTAGATCTCTTAGTGGGCTTTAGTGTCATCAATCATGGTATTCTTTTGTGTCACTATGTGGGTTGGGAATTGAGAGCACTTTATTATAGTAGTTCTGCTCTTTCTTAAGCAAGCAATTTCAATTGGGGATAATGGGAGAGAAATGCTGAAGACCCTGGACCTCCAGATCAAGGTTGCCCCACTCCCCACATGAAACTATTGGGAGACATAATGTTTTGATACAGAGTAAAGCATGTAGATGCTAAAACCTTTTCTTTTTTTTACCATCCATCCTATAATGGTAGTTTATTATTTGTTTTCTTTCATAGTTCAGTTTTGCATTATTGATGCTAAATACACAATGATTAGAAGGCACATCTCTATATTAGATGGATCTTCTCCACAGAGATACAATACATATATACAAATACAGTATATGAAGTTCAAAGTTGTATGGAGAGAGAATGAAGCTTGATCCTACAAGAATCAAGCTTCATTCTCTCTCCATACAACTTTGAACTTTTCAAAGAATGCGGTGTCTTATTTTACTTAGAATTAGCGATGCGATTGAAAGCTTGAATATCAGAAATTACAAGTCCAGCTAAAATGGTATCTATGTGTAAACATAAGTACTTTGATTTGTTCCAAAATATGTTACTCATGTTTTCTGGGTCTTTCATTTTTCAGCGGAAGTACAGAGTGAGATTGAACGAATTTTTGAACTGGCACGATCCTTGCAATTGGTTGTTCTAGATGCAGACACAATTAACCACCCTGCACAACTTATTAAGACATCGTTAGCTCCAATTATTGTCCATGTTAAAGTGTCATCTCCAAAGGTTAGCCTCTTTGTCTCTTGGCTTTTCTCCATTCATATCTGTCCTTGTAGAAATATTTTTCTTTGCTGTGTGTATGACATGTTACCTGCATGTGATCTCTAGCCCATGATTGAGGTAATGTAGCTTTAAGTTGTCCTTAGATATAATTTCACTCTTCAGTGGACACTACCACAGAATAGCTGAACATTTGTAAAATGTATTATGTTTCACCATGTATTAAATGGTTGTTACATGAATCACAGCAGTTAATAAGTGAGTAGCCTGGTTGTTAAGTGAATCTGGCTTCCTCATTGACTTTGCTTGTCAGAAGGTTGCAAAAGGTGATCACATGATCTTAGGATACAGCAAAGGTCATAACTATGAACCAGTTGCCAAGCATCTGAATTTTGATCACATAAGCATGAGTATATAGAGCAGGGATGTGAAACTCGTGGCCCGCGGGCTGGATGCGTCACATGCTGGCCACGCCCACCCCCGGTTTAGCGAAAGGGAAAAAAAGTTGCGATATGTCACATGACGACAATGTGTCATCGCAAGTTTGACACCCTTGATATAAAGAAAAGAAAATCCATGAGTAATTATTAGGTTGCAGAGAAAGAATGGAAAGAAATTAGTAGCCCTTGAACAACATTTACACCAAATCATGAAAGGGCACAAGTAATGTGCCTTTAAAAATAGAAATTTGAGAAATACTTGGAACTTGACTGATTTATACTGACTTAGTAAAAGTGGAGAATATATACCTTTGATTAGAAACCACCATAAATGATATTCAGGAAATATTTTGGTCTGTGATGGAGAATGCTGTGACATTGGATTATTTTTTTTTCCCAAAGAAGACCTTATTTTTCACTATCTTGCCTTCTGGTCTTAAGACAGTGTACTTTACTACTCATTCAACTATTTGTTTTTCTTCAACTTTCAATGCAGACTCCTTTCTTTGGTGAAATATGCCTGAAATCATCCTGTTGATACCATTTTATTCTTCTCTGCTTTTCCTTTGATCACATTCAAGTGTAGAGGTCAAATCATATGGATAAAATTATTTTATTTTGGTATTTTGCAAAGCATCTGGTGGTTGTTCTTAAAATAAATGCTAAGAAATACTAGTCCAGGCCTAGATAAGAGTTCAGCCAGTGATTTATGTAGACACCAGTGGTGGGATGCTACCGGTTCACCCCGTATTAGGCGAACCGGGTGCTTCTGCACATGCCACTATCAGCAAACCGGTAGCATGCACGCCACCATGAGCAAAACGGTAGTGGCAGGATTTGGAATCCACTAGCAATAGACACCATGTTTCAAGAGGATCCATTCCCCTGGTGTAGGATTTACCCAGAGTTAAGTTGACCCTAATGTACATAGATCCAGCAACAACACTGAGAATTCTACCAAAGGAGGACAAACTTATATAGAGATACAACAAGCTTTTGAGTTTAATACGTGAAGCATAAAATGCAAAGTATCGTGTCACACACAAAAAAATGTTTGACAGCCATGAAACAACCTCACTGTTGCTTTTGCATTGTCTTTTCAGGTTTTACAGCGACTCATCAAATCAAGAGGAAAGTCGCAGAGCAAACATTTAAATGTCCAGCTGGTTGCAGCCGATAAGCTTGCACAGTGTCCGCCAGTAAGTTCAGGACCGCATTTTTAAAAATTATATAAATAATAAACATAGAGATAGCAGAATCTTTTGTATTAATGTAGTACTGCTTTATTTCCCAATACATTTATTTTCAGGAGAAGAGTGCTATAACGGACAGCTGATCAAATCCTAAATGTGTTCAAAAATAGGTCAGAAGTCTCGACAAAGAAGGTCTCCTCTTTCTATGTACAGCCAAAAATCACGGCCAGGGCCTGCTGTGATGTGTAGGATTATAGTAGCAACTGCACTTACTGTACTTTTCTTTAGCAGCCCACTAACTTTCCACCCACAACTTCAGAAAAATGTGCACTAGGAAAACGGAAGCCCTATGTGAGGTCCAGTGCATTACATTTTCCTTACTAAGTAATTTTCCATGATTTCTGTATTTCTTCTAATGAAAGGCAAGCCAAGGCAAGCCAAGTGCCTGATGTTCAAATAATATTATTAGGAACTAAACTGAAGACAGAAAGCGGTAACTCTGTTTCTTATTTTATTGTGTGATTTGGTGAACATCCACGAAACTATTTGAATATTATGAAAACATCTGAATTACCAATGCAGGGAGAAAGAGACAAATGAAAAGTAAGGTTGCTTTACTCATAAATATAGCTGTCTTAGTTTGGGTTTTAGTGCAGGTAGTCCTCAACTTACGACCACAATTGAGTCCAAAATTTCTGTTGCTAAGTGAGAAATTTGTTAAGTTTTGCCTCATTTTACAATTTTTCTTGCCATAGTTGTTAAGTGAATCACTGCAGTTGTTAAATTAGTAAAAGGGTCTTAAATGAATCTGGTTTCCCCATTGACTTTGTTTGTCAGAAAGTTGAAAAAGTGATCACGTGACCCCGGGACCCTGTAACCATCATAAATGTGAGTCAGTTGTCAAGCATCTGAATGTAAAACATGTGACTGTGGGGATGCTGCAACGGTCATAAGTGTGAAAAATGGTCATAAATCACTTTTTTCTGTGCTGTTGTGACTGTGGTTACTAAGCAAACTGTTTTAAGTCAAGGACTACCTGTACAGTTTTTAATAATATTTTAATCTGTGTAGTTTTAATGTTTTATAACTCATAAGCCACTTTGTAGGGGAGATGGGTGGCACAAAAATTTAATAAATAATAACATAACAATAAGAAACATACATATACATGTATTTTGAAAAAAAACCAGCAGATGTGTGAGCGACAAGGTGTCCATGGAAACAATGAGCATCCACATTTTTGTCTTTCTTGTAGTTTTATTTACAACAGGATTGAAGGCCGACATTGTTCAGGAGCTCATATCTAAAATCTTTGGCAACTGCTGAAACCAACAGTCAATCTTTAGAGAGTTTTTAAAGAAATTTATCTCCTATACTGACTTTCCCAGTTGATACTACTTGTTCACTGATTTCACCCTTTCCATATTAAAACAGTACATATTGTTCATTTAACGATTGTTCAACGTCACAGTACCACTAAAAAAATTTACTTGACAACCGATCCTCGCACTCAAGATTGTCACAGTGTCCTCACAGTCACATGATCAATGAAATTGAAGATCATGTGACAATAATTTACAACAGTTGCAGCATCCTGGGGTCATGTGATCACCATTTGCAATCTTTCCAGTGGGCTTCCAACAAGAAAATTCAGTGGGGGGAAACGGGATTTGTTTAAGAAGCATGTGCTTTACATAATGACTTTGGCAAGGGGCAACTTATTTAAAGACCTTATTCCTTAGTGATGGATGTTCTAGTCACTATTGTTATAAGTCAAGAACTACCTTTAGATATTAATTGACGCATCGTTTCCTTTACATATACAAGATCCATTGAGAATATTGGTTTTGAATCTATCTATCTACAGTACATTATACACCAAATTTCTTTCTGTATATCTGGCAAGTTTGGGTATATTTATGAACAGAGAAAATGTTTTAACATACAGCAAGTGTTTTAACTTCTTTAATTTACATTGTATTGTAAACCTAGATTCTGAAGTAGAATATTAATAATTAAGAATCCTTTATCAGCTCCAAATCCTTATGAATTTTTCATAGTGGCAGTATATGCTGATGCTAAGATCAGCTCTTATTATGCAAATGCTGTAAGCATCAGCATTTGTTACACAGAATGTCCTGATGTAGGAGCTGTGTAAAGAAAGAGTTTTTAAAAACAACATAACATTTTTGTTATACTGTACTCTAAATGTCCTCATTCTTTTATCTTGCACAGTATAAAAGATATTAGCTGTTATTCTGAAACAGCTATTACAAAACTCGTTTCCATTGCAAACATTTTCTTTCAGAGTTCTAAGTTGTTACTGGAAGATTAACTATTAATTTGGCTGTGCAAATTCTTACGTGCACATGGAAGACTTCTATCTGAGAAATGCGACAGTATATCAAGGATAAAGTTATAGCAGTCTTCCATAATTTGGTAATCTCCACATGTTTGGAGACTACAAGCTTTCATAGTTTGCTGTTAGCGAAAGATTTGGGTCAGGAATTGTAGGAGTTGCAGTCCGCAGAGGTATGGAGGACACCAGAGGAGGAAAGCTGTATTAAACTACAAGATTCCAGGTGAATTAAAGAATCTGGCATAGGAGGCTAATCCAAAAGAAATTGGAAAATTGGACTTCCAAACCCTGAGATTGTTCTAGGAAAAAGAATAGAAAACTCAGAACCCAAAAGGAGAGGAAAACAAAGCTCCTTCTTACCTGCATTTTTGGGACTACACGCTACCCAAACATAGGAAATACTAAAAACAGGAGCTGTCTCTGCCCCCTTTAAAGGTCCTGAATCCTCAAATGTTACGCCAACAGATGAGAACTGAGTAAAAGCTTTCTGTATTAGTATGGTGCTAGAATCTGTTGCCTTGTATCAGGGGTGTCAAAATCATAGCCCGTGGGCAAGATGCATCACGTGCTGACCACGCCTACCCCCATTTTAGTGAAGGAAAAAGTCGTGATACATCACGTGATGACGTGATACCACGAGTTTGACACCCCTGCCTTATACCAATAATAGAAATGCACTTGAATATTATAGCAATAGTAATAGGACTTAGACTTATAGGTATACCGCTTCATAGTGCTTTACAGTCCTCTCTAAGCAGTTTACAGAGTCAGCATATTGCCCTCAACAATCTGGGTCCTCATTTTACAAATTTCGGAAGGATGGAAGGCTGAGTCAACTTTGAGGATCTTCGAACTCCTGGTGTGTGGGCAGAGTTAGCCTGCAATACTGCATTCTAACCATTGTGCCACCACAGCTCTTATCATATTTGTACAGACACCCATCTCACGAGACAGTGACTGAGACAGCATTAAAAAAGGAAACAAATAAATGCATTAAAAAATCATTATTAAAAACTAACTCCCCAAAAAATCCCACATGAAACAAGAGAGGAATGATGTTAGCCGCAATAGGGAAGCCAGAGTCTCTCTGTTCCCCTTGAACCCTCAGGCCTGAGAACATAGCAAGCTCTTGATGTACTTGCATACTGTTAAGAGGGATGAAGCTAATTTCACTTCTGGGGAGAGGAGATTCCGTAAGGCTGTTTTGTCTGTTAAGATGAGAACTCAAATTCTGCTTTTTTAGTGTTCATCATTGTTATGTATGCAAAACAAATTGCATATACGATACATTTTAAAAAATAAATAAATATTGCATAGATTTCACCATGTATGGAGCTAAGCCAAACATAAATTTATAACTGTGCATGGATTCCTCTGAAGGAATACTTCCAGCAATGCTTGCTTGTAACCATTTTTGAACCATCACGACTGATGGGCATTATTTTTGGATTGCCTTCATGTATTACACTATGCATTCCTATGTGTATGTATTATATAAAACATAGAATTGCCTAGACTCACATGGCCATGACTAAGTTATGACATCTGTTCAAACTGCGGTCATGAATCTAATTGCGTGCTGTCCTTAGGTGTAACATCACATGACTTCCTGCTAGCTTTCCCATTTACTTTGTTTGTCAAGCTTGCAAATGGCAATAACACAACTGCAGGAGACTGTGATTATTATAAATGTGCATTGGTTGCCAAGTGCTTGAATCCTGATCATATGACTGGGGAAATACTGTAATGGCCACAAGTTCAAGATCCGGTCGTAAATTTCTTTTTTCAGCAATAACGTAACTTTAAACAGTCACTGAATGAGCAGTCATAAAGTGAAGACTACCAGTATGAGGCTAAACCTACATATGAGTGTAGGGTTAGGTTTGGATTTGGTTGTGAATTAAGGTTAACCATCTTGCTACATAAGTCTAACTCATATTTGAGATCAAGAGTTTTTTAAAATCACCAATCATTCCTAGTTTGTGTTTGATAATAACGTAATATAATGCTTATTTTCTGAACAGGAAATGTTTGATGTTATTCTGGATGAAAACCAACTTGAAGATGCTTGTGAACACTTGGCAGAATACCTTGAGGCCTACTGGCGTGCTACACACACTACCAGTAGCACACCTATGACACCTTTGCTTGGAAGAAACCTAGGCTCCACTGCACTATCCCCTTACCCTACTGCGATCTCTGGATTACAGGTATGAATCCATGAGTTTGTCATTGGTGGTGTGCCCTTACATATCCTGTATCAGAGCTAAATGGCTCATAAGAAGACACCTATATTCCGAAACCAGCGTGCCTAGAGATTTAAACATGCAGTGGTTTTATTTGTTTGTTTGTTTAATTTCTATAGCTGCCCAATTGAAGTAAGTGACTCTGCCCCATTTTCCATTAAAGATGAGGTTACTTCCATTAATTGGTATAAAGCAGTTGATAATTGAAAAAAATATGGGAATTCTCCTGTAGTTTGTAATTCATGTGAGCCTCACAGTGCTTTCGAATGCGTTCTATGGGTTTGTTCCATTGGAATACAATTAGTAGGGTGAAAATATGCCTGTCAGTGAACATCACTTAATTAATTCACTAGCAAGTATTAGCAAAATACAATCAGATGTGGCAGGTATGTAAATTCCTTTTGTATGATATACTGGCTCCACTGGATTTGTGGTGGGGAGATATATTTCCAGATCTGTATGCAATGATTGTAACACTATTTAGTGTCTCAATATATAATGAATCACGACTGGATGTGTCTTTTGAAAAGTGGAGTGAACAAGTGATATAAATATTTAGTGATCAATCTACAACTCCTTCTATGTTATCATAATGCCACAGCCAACAGGTAATGCACTGTTGGCATTGGATTAACTGATTTTATTAGCCAAGAAAAATAAACCATAGCTACTTTGGTTGATCTTTAATTCTGGAAAATTTTGTTCGGATACAAATAGAATATGAATAACGTTAAGATTGTTGAACGTAAATCAAAGGGGATGATGGAACATAACCAGATCCTCCCTTTTTATCATGAAAAAACCTGCTGCACAAGAAATTCTTAAAAAGATAAGCATGTCAGATATGTTACGGTGCCACCAATTGTTACAGTTGTTCCAAATAGATTAGTTTCAGTATTTTCTCCAGGTTGATCAACTCACAAAAGTTGTGTATTAATATGATGCTAATGCCCTGCCTCTAGTGTAGTTTGCCTCATTTCTTCTTTGAGGTAACAGTTCAGAAAAATTGGTTCATCTGTTCTGATTTTTTAAAAAAATGATTAATAAAATATTATTCCAATTATAAAAAGATTCTGAACATTTTTTTCCACAGGGATAGCTCAAAAACGGCGGGCCTTTGACACTTCAAACGTGGCATGTAAATAGTCCTTAATCAGAAGTACGTGTTTTACTAAGTTGGGGGGAAAATGTCTTATCAGTTCAAGTTATCTATGTTTGTAAGTGCACAGAGAATGCACGGAGGCCAGTGTCGCTAAACAACTCAGCACAATGTGTGTGGCTTTTACTACGTGTTACACTTCCCATAGTCTGTATGTCCAGTTGGAGGATTAAGCAAATCCCCCAAACTCAATCTGCTAGTCAAATTGATGGCTTTTAATATACTTGTTCACTATCTAAGTGCTCTGTTTTTTTCTGTCACTGCATGGATGCAGAAGAAGGCATTTAACTTTTGAATTTATGTGTAATATTTTAAGGCCAGGTTCTACACATAGCATTGTTTCTGCTTAGTGAGTGGTTGACTGTGTGAGCAACAATTTGAGTTCTGTGGAAACATGTTTGTTTTTAACTGTGAAACTTTTTGTTTTCCATCTTGTTTGTGTTGGCCAGCCCCTTCTCTTGAACTTTGCTCTAAGCAAGGGCAAATGAGGTGGACAAAGCAAACTCATTTAGATAGCTTTAGCACAATCCCCACACCTACCCCAGTTCCATTCACTGTTAATCTGTTTTCCCAAGGAATGAATTTTAGATCCTAGTTGATTTACAAAGGCTGTTTCATACCATCTAGCCTTTGGGCCAGTTTGCAAATCATACTAAACACGCCTACAGTGGCTGCAGCTTATCTATGAGCTGGTACTAGCCATTGTAGTTACTTCAGATGTTAGTAAGAGACAAGATTGCTTTGCCTATCTGTGTCACCTACTTAATTCTAGACTTGTCAGCAAACAGAAAGAAAATAGTGATATATTGCAGTATTAGCCCTCACTCAAGGATTATACCTTTGACTTGAAGAATTTGGAGATAAGGAAGTTACTTCATAATCCACTACTAAGAAATATAAATATGAATTTATCCAGTATAGAGAGAGCAAAAATTGTAGGTGAAGGTAAGTTAAGTAATACATAGCAGGAGCGGAGCAGTGGAAAATTTCAGATCTTCTATAAAGCACGGAATGAAAAGCAGATGAATTTAGAACATCAACAGAAGCCTATTTTAAGAACTTGTTCATGGTGGGCCTTATTTTGAAGTTTTAAAAAATGGCTTTTACATTTTTCACCAGGCAGTATACCTGAGATCTGATTTTTCTGTTCTCATTGCCAAGTATTTTAAATTAAATCAAAGCACCACATTCTGCTGTTTTCTTTCCTCAGCTTTTGAAAACAGATGGTGAGCCTAAATATATTAAATAGCAGCCAATTATATGTTAAATCAACGATTTCAGGACAAACTTGCAACAAATTCAGAAGAGTGACACAAACTTGTGGCATCTAGCCCCCCCCCCTTTTTAATGTTTGACTGCTTTGCTATTTATAGAGCCAACGTCTGAGGCATAGCAACCATTCTACCGAGAATTCTCCAATCGAACGACGAAGTCTAATGACCTCGGATGAAAACTACCACAACGAAAGGGCTCGGAAGAGCAGGAACCGCTTGTCTTCCAGTTCCCAACACAGTCGAGATCACTACCCTCTGGTGGAAGAAGAGTACTCTGATTCGTATCAAGACTCATACAAACCTCAAAGAAACCGGGGGTCTCCTGGAGGATATAGCCATGATTCCCGACAGAGGCTTTGAATTGACGGACCTGGGGGCGAATGGTACTCATTGGTTGGCCACCTGCTGTTGTAACATAGCTAGGCCAAACAAAGCATCTTGATGCTTACAGGCTGCTGTCATTTCATGCTCTAGAAGGGCAAAAGAGGATAAATCAATGTTTCTCAACCTCAGCAAATTTAAGAATTTAAGGAAAGAATTCCAGGAGGCGAAGTCCACTCATCTTAAAAGTTGTCGAGGTAGAGAAACACTGATATAGATAATGCCCTTTCCATTTAGAAAGAAATGAGTTTGCTCAGACACTTAGATGTGTTTTCTTTCCCATGTAATGTTTCATTTCAAACTGTTATCTTTTCTCTCCATTAGATATAATTAGAAACATCAATTTGTAACGTAGAATACCTGTTGAAGCGCACATATGATAATTTCCTGTTACGGAAATTCCAAATGACCAGTTCCAGTTGGAACCAATTTATAAACCAATTCCTGTTGGAATTTGGGTGAAATTGACTGGAAAGTCAACTTGAGCATGTTGCAGTCAGTGGAAAAAAAAAAGTGAAATAAAATGAAGAGAACGTAAATTACAAAATCATTATAAGCAAAAAAAGATATTTTAAAAAATCTCTAGTACTTGTTTACTGGAAGGTTAATTTATATATAGCTATAGATACAGTTAGAATAAATAATATTAATGTATTTATTTCAGACTACCAAATGTAAACACTCAACTGTGCCAAAAATAATGAATGAATGGAAAAGCTCGAAGCCTTTCCATTTTAAACACAGTAGATTTTTTTCCCCCTCCCGGGCTTATATATTGCAGCAAACCTGTATCGCATTGATATTTTTTGCATTTGCTAGATCATATGAAACTATTTCAGCAACTTGAAATAAACTAGAGGTGAAGACAGGCATGTTTTAAAAAAAAAACATGGTGGAAATGAATGCACATTCTGTAGCACAGATGAAATGGAGTTTCACTCAATGAACCTGGAAGGTGTGAACAGTGCTCTTGGTGTGTATAGTTTTATGCATGAAGGGTCGTCTGCATGTTCCAAGTGTGTGATGGCATACCCAGAATGTTTAAAAGATCTATCCATAGTTTCTCCTAGGGAGAACTAGAAAAGGGATAGCTTATCTCATGTTCCTTGTACCTTAGCACTGAAGATGGGATTAGAGCTTTTGGCTTTGCCCAAACAAGGAAAGTCTGGCTCAGCTACGGTAGATGATTAGCAGAAGGATGAAAACAACCATTACTCTTTTGGGGCTGGTAAAGCTAAGCCTTAATGAAGAATCGGTATTAGGCACAAGGATCCTATCCATCTAGTGTCCTGGTTTGTCAAAAAAAAAAAAAAAAAAAGGCTTTGCAAAGAGTTAAAAGGAGGTGTTTATATTTGGATTTTATCCTGTGCATTAAATGTATTAAAAGTTGAAGGTGTTTCATAGGAAAAGATTAATGTGACATTGTTCACACTGCTTTATAGTCAAGAAAGAGATTTCATCCAGCCAAAGCACTAGAGAAGCAGTATTATGATAAGGCATCCCCAAAGTCTTGGGTGCTTATTTGGCATGCGAATTCTGAACCATGATGGCCTGTTCTCTTTATCGTGTCTTAGAATGAGGTGTACTGTTTTCTTAGTCCGAAAGTTATATCCACCAAACATCCATAATTTTTTCAATCAAAAGTAATATACCGTGATAATTATGCTATGTTGGCCTTTCGCCCAGATCCTGATCACAAATGTGCTGCAGTCCCTGGACTTCCTGCTTCTCCTTCCTCCCTAGAGTGAAAAAGCAGCCCTGAGCACATTAAAGCCCTTTGTATGTATGAAAAGGACGGGTAAACTCTGGCATGCCGGAACTTCATAAATGTATCATCAAGGAGATGTTTTGGAGCTCCTAGGTCAGTAAGGGAATGTCAGGTCTAGAAATATCAGAAAAGATAGCATCACATATACTCCACATCTCAAGATTGTCTTCAGAGTGAGTGGCAAGCATGGTGTTTTTTTTTACACAATGCTTTTAATAAGCTAATAATTACAAAATGATAGTAATACACAGAGAGAGGCTCTTCTGACCAATATATTCAGTACAAGATTCTAACGCTCATATTTCTGCATAAGAATGGCTGTTTGAGGAACAGGTTTTGAAAAAAAGTAGGCGAGATTAGCATTCAAGTATTAGAAAGAGAGCAGAACATACGAGTAAACTAAACAAATGATGAAAAGTAGAGCTTGATACATGGAAAAAGTGCACAAATAAGCTATATTAAGAAGGGCTATACCAATAATGTGAAATGAACTAAGGTTACATTAGTTGGTGAAAGATAAAATAATGTCCATATAAATGATATACTTGATTGCTAGAATACAGCAAATGAAAGAATTGGATGGGACATTTCTGTACCTTTTCTCACTAAGCTACGTTTAAGATGTGTTCAGATAGTTAAAAGAATTGAAGCATGGCATAGGGTGGTATTTATATATATATTTCCTCCAAATGAGGAGTGCACACTACTCTCCAGAAATACTTTAAATATATACACATCATAAGGCACTCAGGTAACTGGAACAGAAATATTCATATGTAACCATCAAAGCATAGGGCATGAGGTTTATCACATATCAAAGGCCTTCATTTTAGCACAGAGAATGCCAAATCATACATGATGTTAATTGTCTTCAAGGCTCTGTGGAACTCTTCAAACATTAGGAAATTGAAAAATGGCATAGGCATTTCCCATTGCATACTGCTGGATACTTGCAAAGTAGACATTTTTGTATTTGACCATCAAATCTCAGGTCATGAATGTTACCTCATAATGGAGACCGGTACTCCAGCACAAACCTGCTTAGAGACAGTCAGTGGGCTGTGGAGCTGCAGTGCCCTTTAATTGTTTGGGGTTAAGGGGGGGGGGAAGGACTGTCAGATTTAGAACCAGCAAGGGAGATGTATCCAAATTGGCCAGACAAAAGGTTCATTTCCTACCATAGTATTACACGCTCTGTAAGAATGAACACAAAAGCAGTGAGCTTGTCATAGAATTGCCTCTGTAATTGGCTGCTGCTGGTTGTGTAACCTGGGTGGAATATTTGACGGCGCTGTTTCTTGGTGGACAGGGTATCTTCAGAGCGCTAGCACTTTAATGCATGCCCCAAACTTATGTATTATTGGAAATATTTCCTATAGAGGTAGTCCTCGACTTACAACCACAAATAGAGTCCCAAATTTCTGGTGCTAAGCAATGTTAAGTAAGTTTTGTCTCATTTTATGACCTTTTTGTCATAATTGTTAAGCGAAATTGCTGCAGTTGGTAAGTGATTCCTGGTTGTTAATGACTTTGCTTGTTGGAAGCCAGCTGGGAAGGTTATCAATGGTGATCACATGACCCCAGGACAGTACAACTGTCATAAATATATGCCAGTTCCTGAGTGCCCACATTTTGATTGTTTGACCATGGGGATGCTACAACCATTGTAAATGTGAAAACCTGTTATAAGTCACTTTTTTCACTTCCATTGTAACTTCAAGCGGTCACTAAAACAAATGGCTGTAAATGGAGGACTACCTATAGTGGTGTATTTGAAATCAGACATTTGAAGAACAGAGTTTATCAGAAAAACGTGACTTCTTAAATGTAATTAGAGTTGTATATTTTTATTTAGGGAAATTATATTTTATGACCATCTGAGGCTGTTACGTAATAGATAGAGTCTTCTAATTCAGCTTGCATCTTGTATTTGTCCTGTCTCAAGCATAGCATTTTATTGGATGGGGAGAATCTTGATGATGAGTTCTTTGATTTCTAACTTTCATGTTTTCTCACTTCTTTGTAATTTTTTAAGACACTTCGTTAGGATAGCCCTTAGCTGCAAAAATTCAGAGAACCACTAGATGGCAAGAAAGAAATTAGCTGCTATCTGATGTTTCTCTGTATTTTTTTCCCTCCCCAAAATTGTAACCACTAAGGAGGAAAAGTATTCCCACTGATGATGAGTCATGCCTAGTCTGGGGCTGGATCAGCCTGAACCTGACTTTGTTCTATTAAAAAAGGGGCGAAAAGCCAAAAGCAGTCTGAATGTTTTTTTTTTGCAAGGTGAAACCAGCCCCAGTGTGGCCCAGAAAACAGGCCAAGCAGCCCCATCAGCAGTTAAAGCAAGAAGACAGTGAAGAGCTATGGTGGCGCAGTGGTTAGAATGCAGTATTGCAGGCTAACTCTGCTGGCTGCCTGCAGTTTGATCTTGACCGGCTCAAGGTTGACTCCGCCTTCCATCCTTCCGAGGTCGGTAAAATGAGGACCCAGATTGTTGGGGGAAATATGCTGACTCTGTAAATTACTCAGAGAGGGCTGTAAAGCACTATGAAGTGGTATATAAGTCTAAGTGCTATTGCTATCACCTGGGGTGGTGGCATGCAGGGCAGCAGTGACCTTGGAGTGCAGGTAGTAAGGGTGACTGGGATTGATCTGGGCTGGCTGTGGCTTTCTGGAACATAGTAAGCAGCCCAGAGCCAGGCGGTTTGGGGGTGCTTGCCCATCTCACAAGGTAGGGTGCAGGACAGCCAAAATGACAGTGATGGGGTGGGGGGGGAGATATATAGTGGTGGATTGCTTCCGGTTCTGTCCAGTTCTTGTGAACCAGTAGTAAAAGCGGCGGGAGGCTTTGCCCACCCTCCTGGACATCATAATGGATGATCTGCGCATGGACAGAAGCATTCGTGTGCTCACTCCTGTTGCGAACCGGTAGTAAAGGTAAGTAGAACCCACCCCTGGGGAGATAGGTAAGTGGTGGAGTTGGAGGCAATTCCTTACTTATTGAGGTTTGAGACTGGGACAGATCAAGCTTGAAATGGAGTGGATTGGGCTGGGTGCTCAGCTAATAACCAATAAAATTTGCTTAACAATAGCAATGGGGTTTCCTGGAATTGCAGTCGCTAAGCAATGCAGTCACGCAACATCTTGCTTTAGAGCCACATTGCTTAGCAATTGAAATTGAGGTCCCAGCTGTGGGCATAAGCTGAGGACTATTCTGTACCTACTGTTAAGTTCTGAAAATAAAATCTGTATATAGCTGAAGTGGTTTTGTTAAGGTAGAAAAGATGAGTAACTGTGCATTTACAGCAAGGAGAAATAAATTGGAGCACCTTGGAGAGAAAGATACGTTTGACAATGTCTTGGCTATAGCTTGTTGGGAAGAAATATGGGTTCAGTATGTTTGGGCTACAGGGGAACTTAATTTTTTGAGTCATATTGAGCATCATTTGTTCCCCCTATAGTGTTTATTTATTGCAAGACATAGACAGAATTGTTTCTGAGGTTTTGCTCCCAGACATGCCAAATCGCTTGGCCAATTTTTGATGCTGTGCATCTTGATATGGCTGGATAAGGAGCCCCATTTACTAATCTGCTTCAGGAAATAGCACCTCTGAACCCTTTCTAGGAGTCCTTGCGTAAAGAGCATGAACTCTTGACATATAAGAAATATTATACCGAGTACTGCTGTCCGACACTTTGAATTGAAAGGTAAAAAAGAGATTTTGGCACACCTTGGGATGCTCAGGTAGCACCTCCCTATAGCTCAAAGCAGCGGCGGCAGCAGTTTTTCCTGGGTTACACAGCCACTTTCTGCCCCACTAGCCCAAGAAAAAGCACATTTTCCTTCAAGAGTTGCAAATAGGCTACATGCCTGTGGTGGTTCCCCACACTTGGAAAGACAGCTTTGCCTTCTAATTGGAAGCATCATAGAGCTCTAGAAAGCCACTTCGGTGTAGTTGGTGAAAGCATCTGGCTAGAAACTGGTAGTTGGTGAATTCTAGTCCCATCTAAGACACGTAGTCACTTGGGTGACCTTAGGCTAGTCACTCTAATGTGCAATGGTGAACCACTTCCAAAAAACTGTCAACAACACTTGTTTAGGGAGTTGCCAGGAGTCAAAAGATGACTCAAAGGCATGAGTGTGTGCGCACACTCGTGTGCATGCACACATCTCACACATACACACACACACACAGAGAGAGAGAGAGAGAGAGAGAGAGAGAGAGAGAGAGAGAGAGAGAGAGAGAGAACTCCTTAATCAGTCTAAACCAGGAAGTATCACAGAAATCCTCTCTGCAGATTACATTCGATTCTTAACAAAGGAAATACACACTATAGGGTAAATGTTTGTGTGGATTGTGAATTAGGCTGGAGTTCTTTTATGTTTCCAGAAAGAAACCCACAACCAGTTGTACAATGGGTCAGAAACAGAGGCAGGCCATCTTTTTAAAAAAATACATGAAATAAATGTTACTGCTTGTGCACTATTTGCCAATCATCTCCCTGCCAAAGCAATGCTTTTTTCCCCAGAGGAAAAGGTCCAAGCACATAAAATGAACAAAAAATAAACAGAAGAAAGAAATTCTTTAGTTTCCATGGAAACAGACTGGAAGGCAGTATCTCTATTTTTCTTGTATTACTGCCCTCTATTGCTTTTTCCTCGATTTCCTTAATCCTTAAAACAAATTAGTGATCTTTTAGTTATTCATTTGTAGTTTAGGAGTCTGAACTCAGAAAGCTAAACAGACTTGGCTAGTACCATATTTGGATAGGAGACCACTAGGAGATAATAAGGCTGAGGACCAAGCTGAATTTACTTAAACATCCAGAGAAAGCAGTGGCAAACCACATCTGTATTGCTGCTTGTCTATGAAATTACCAGGAATTGAGCTGGATTCAAGTTATCTTTATGTATATTACCCTTAATGTAATTGTAAAATTGTTTGGTTCTGACTGTACTCTCTGTGAAGTCTCTTGTTAAAAGCATGTTATGGTATTAAAGTAAGGGTTGCTGCTATTGTTTATGGAATGGGAGTAATGATAAACAGCACTTCCCCATCAGAAATTCTACACAGCACTCCAGCATAAATGCACACTCCTTTATTGCAATTGATGGTTACATATTTAAGACAGAACTTTTTCAACCATGGTTTAGCCTTCTTTTAATGTCAAAATTAACTTCTGAAAAGTACAATATCATCTCCTATGGATAGGAGAGTTGTGCAGGATTTTGGATTCAACTAGGAAGAGATGCTTTGGACATGTGGGAGCATGAATGCAGGCAGCATCCCTGACTGATTCATTAATTCAACTGCATCTTTTTCTCAAACTGTGTGGCTGATCCAGGGAAGATACAAATGCTTTAACAAATTACCAGAGCTGCGTTCATATTTGTATGCATTCCACATAAATAAAAAGAATTGTACAGCTCTAACAGATACATTTTCTAAGCAATCTTATTTAAGTAAATTAACAAGCCACTTTTATTTGGTTCTGTGTATAGGTTTTTCTGTTTCCCACCCTCTTCCCCCTTCTGAATAATTCCTTGACAAAAGACAATTAGGGCATAGAATTTATCTGGAGATTCAGTGCAATCCAAAGATGCTGGTTCAGTGATTATGTAAGGCTGCAAATAGAATTATTTCAAAAATCATCTTAATTTGTATTCAGAGTAGGTAAATATATCTGAAAAATTAAATGGGGAAAGAATTGGAGAACATGCAGTTTTGCAGACTGGCAGTTTTTGGTCATCCCAATTGTATATTCAGAAGCCGAGTCCCAGTTAGTTAATAGCGTAGCAATATCAATCGTTGCTGGATCAGTTCACAATTCCAACAAAGTTTCCAACTTTGTGCAGTGATACTTCCAGGCAAAATAGGATATAAAGATAATCGGCCTTCTTTATATTCTGTAATCAAAACATCATTTCTTAGTAATGTTATGCCTGGAGACACGGTAATGGTGATGAGGATGACTGATTAAAGGCCATTCGCAGATCTGTAAAAAGCTCTCCAAGCTAATGGCTGCCATGAGCACTCCTAAATTTGTTTAAGTGGGTTTCGCATTATAATTACAGCACTTCCCATGGACATCACTGCAGTGAATAGTGAATTTGGCTAAATGAATTGCTGTTGAGCTTCTGCTTGCTAGCATGATAGTTGCCCTTTTTACTTAGTACAGCGGTGTCAAACTGGTGGCCCATGGGCCAGATGCGTCATGCACAGGCCATGCCCATCCCAGTTCTGCAAAGGGAAAAACATCACACAATGTCACGTGACGGCAACGTGACACCATGAGTTTGACATCCGTGACTTAGTATTTTATACTACAACCCAGTAGAGCCTTTCCTTCAACATGGACCCCTTTAAATGCCTTTTGTGGCCACGGACCATGGCCACAGACCCCCAAGACTTAAGATTTAAATCATAACATTTCTTCAAGTCTTCGCGGACCCCCCTGTGCCCCTTGCCATGGTCCACGGACCATAGGTTAAGAACCACTGCAGTAGAGCATTTTAGAATACACTTAATGCCTTGATTACATACTGCATATACATGGGCATGAAAAAGGAGACATTGGGGGGGAAATTCTCACAAATTTTAACAAATTTGGGACCTCATTAAATTGCCACAAATACTTTGAAATCAGTCAATCTGGCTGTTTGTTTTTTTTTTTTTTGCGCTCTGGTAGCATTATGACTGGACTATTGAATTGCTTGAGATTTGCATTTTACAGTGGATAGTTTTGCAATGGTGCTTGACATACTTGCCTTAAGGGAAAAAATATAAGGCATTTAGTATTTCAGAAGAAAAATAATTAATTTTGTAAGTTTTTCCCCCCATCCAAGCTATTGACAATCTAATGAAACACACTAAGGAAAGAATTCACTAAATAACATTATTATCTTATGGCACAAAATTACTTTTGCATATTCATCTTTTTTCAAAAAAATAATCAGTGCTAATATAGAACCTTCCAGATTTATTGGATATATAACTCTTAGGACTCTTGCATAGTATTGCCATCAAGCTGGGCATTCTGGACTAACATATCTGGACAGCCCCATGTTGACTGAAGATTTTTGATGGAGTCTCCTCTTGTTTCTTATATAACAAGTTATTTTGTGCCAACTTTAAATTTACTTGCTGGTGCATGCAACTCTGGCAATGCCTATACAAGTAATAATCACACACAAAAGTCAGCATTGTGTTCTGTAGGTGTAGGAGATCCCACCTACATCCTTGATCAGACTTTTCATTTAAGTCAAGAAGTTCTCAATTTTGTCCTCAGCGTGAGCAGAGAACTCGTTTGAAATATGGCCAGGGGAGAGAAGTCCGAGCCCTCCAGATGTTGCTGAACAACGATTGTCCACATTCCCAGTCAATGGGAGAGACTGCTGGAAATTGAACTCCATATAGGCCTTTCCTCAATGACTTGGTGCTTTCCAACAATCTTTCTGTATGCAAATGTTTTTTCCATGCTTGACTAACCAGAGCCCAGAATATAACCGGTAACAAATTTTCAATTAAGTAAACATCTTTTCTTCTCTTCTTTGGAAATTGGGGGGAAATTGGGGGGGGGGATAGAATATTACTGTGCTTATTCAACATTAAAATGTATGTTCGGTTTTCAGCAGTATTGTTGTTTGATCGCTGATTTTCTGTGAAATTAATGAAGAATTGAATAAGACTGTGACTGCAATTCTATGTAAACTGCCTATAGATCCTAAGGGTGATTTCCATGCAGATTTGCGTAAGATTCAGTGTAGGAATGATTTTGCAGTTGTAATGTAAATCCTTATTAAAACAGTGTTACGCTGCCTCATATGCTGATCGGATCCCTAAGACTTTATGTACAGTTTACAGATATTTCAGAATATTTAAGAAACTGTGTCCCTGGGTGTGTCAATTTTAAGACATTTGAGGGTTGTTTATAATTTACTTTCTGGGAGAAAAGAAATCTGTCCTGGGATGATTGCCTTAGGATGCATCTTTATACAAAGCTTTTGAAAGCAGGCAGAAGAAGTGCATCAGTGGCACTTTTGATCCTAGCAAAATATATCCCCTAGCTGAGGTGTTGCACAAATAACTGAGCAGTAGAGAACTGTCTCCCTGGGATTATTTCCCTTTGTCTCGATTGCTTTGCCAAGTTGTATTTTCAAGATTTGATTGTTAGAGGTTATTTTTTGCAATTTGTGTAATCGAAAGAAATTGATAATGGCATGTACACCTAAATACCAGATAATGTTTTAGATCCATGCTGTTTATTAAAATAAACTCTGCAGCAAAGCCTCATCTGCACAATTGAAGCATAACTACTCACAAAAACTCTGCTTCTGAATTTAATTTGGAGTGTGCTTTGAGATCCATAATACATCGTAACTCTTGGACATTCTGAAGTTCAAGGGAGTTTCACTCAGAATTATTCTACTTGGTAGAGTTGCTTTGGTCTAGTGCAGTGATGGCGAACATTTTTGCCGTCACGTGCCAAAAGAGGGGGTCGCGCGGGGGGGGGTCGTGCATGTGCATGGCCACACCCATAATTCAATGCGCCCCACGCATGCGCGCTCGATCCCCCCGTGCTCTCCCCGCTTTTGGCACATGATGGCACGGTGGGCCCGATAGGCCCGTTTTTCATTCTCCCCAGGCTCCAGTGGCTTTCTTGGAGCCTGGGGAGGGCAAAAACAGCCTCCCCCCCAAGGCCCTCTGTAAGGCCCGTTCTTTGCTCTCCCCAGGCTCCAGAAGTTGGGAAATGGGCTGTTTCCTGCCTCTGGAGGGCCTCGGGAGGGGGGGAGGCTGTTTTCACCCTCCCCAAGCTCCTATAAAGGCTCTGGAGCCTGGGGAGGGTGAAAACAGCCTTCCAGTCCCACCGGAAGTCGGCAAACGGGCCCTTTCCAGCCTCCGGAGGGCCTCCAGGGCAGGTGGAGAAGACCATTTTCGCCCTCCCTAGGCTCCTAGAAAGCCTCTGGAGCCTGGGAAGAATGAAAAATGGGCCTTCCCCACTCACCTGGAGGCCCTCCGGAGGCCAGAAACAGCCTGTTTCCTGAATTCTGGTAGGCCCGTAAGGCCCAAAAATCAGCTGGCGCATGCTGGAGTTGAGCTAGGGCAACGCTCACATGCCCACTGATATGGTTCTGCATGCCACCTGTGCCACACATGCCATAGGTTCGCCATCATGGGTCTAGTGGTTTAGTCACTAGGCTAGAAACTAGGAGACCATGAGTTCTAGTCCTGCCTTAGCCTGAAAGCCATCTGGGAAACCTTGAGTCAGTTATTCTCAACCCAACTCACCTCACAGGGTGGTTGTTGTGGGGAAAATAGGAGGAGGAAGAGGTGTTGGATATGTTCGACGCCTTGAATTATTTGTAAAAAAATGAAGACAGGATACAAATAAACAAACTTGATAGGACCTTTGCTTTGGGAGTGATAATGTGCTATCTACTTATTATAAGGGCACTATAATGGGGGTGGTGATGTTGTTTGCTTTTTTGGCTTTCTGGTTTACCCCAGTGAAAATCTTTTACTTCAGGTAGGCTAAAGAGATGTATAAAAATGTGCAATGCATAGCATTAAGGAGATCTAATATATCCATCATTTTCTTCTGTTCTATCTTTTCTGGTCTATTTATTTCTCCTTATTTTTTTTTTTTGTGGGGGCGGGGAAGGTCAGCTATTGCACCTTGGGAGTGAGAATCTGTAACAATAATGAAAAAGAATTTCTGAAAGTATAGTTGATGAATAAAAATGACATATCGGCAGAGCTGTCACCTAATTAAAGAAGCCGTTACAATAATTTAACCATTCAGAATAAAATTCCATAATGCATACAATCTGCATGAATTTATAGTCGACCCAAACAGTATTTTCCAACCACAAAATCTCCCTTGCATAAATTTTAATTAATTTCTGTTGGAACATATGTATCGATGTATACATATAGCTATCCATTATCATCTAAATCAGGGGTGTCCAACCTTGGCAACTTGAGGACTTCAACTCCCAGAATTCCCCAGCCAGCATGCTGTAAGGTTAGACATCCCTGATCTAAATGAACTTTCAGATAACAGCTGTAGCTTCTTCATTCCTCTATCCCAAAATCTGCTTCAGAGGACCCTTCAACCTATCTGGAAAAATCAGTTCAATTTGCCATATCAGATCCTTTGCTGTGTGGCCCAATCCACTGATATTTAGGAAATACCCTTCTTTGTGTGAGACGGACAAATATAGCGCCCCAACATTTCTAGCGTCTTTACAATAATTATTTCCAGATTTTATGCAGGTTCCTTTGAATGTATTATAAATAGTTTTAACTGAGGAAAGAAAATGATAGTAAGGTTTCTAGGCCTAATTTTGGCCGATCAAATTTTGCAAAGGAAACAAACAAACAAAACTTTAAACTTTTTGAAGTTTACCATAAATTTTTAAAACTTTTAAAAAATGTTTGCTTCTGCAAAATTTGCCAAATGCCCAATAGTAGTATCAAACACAGCTCTGTTTAAATAGAGCAGCAGCAATAAAAACTGTTCAGAAAACTGGCAGAACAACCCCATTTTTGCCCTCCCACCCAAAGGTTAGGGATGGTAACAGTAGTGGAATTCAAATTTTTTGACTACTGGTTATGTGGGCGTGGTGTGGCTTGGTGGGCGTGGCAGGGGAAGGATACTGCAATATCTCCATTCCCACCCCACTCTCGGGCCAGCCAGAGGTGGTATTTGCCGGTTCTCTGAACTACTCAAAATTTCCGCTGCCGGTTCTCCAGAACCTGTCAGAAGCTGCTGAATAGCACCCTTGGATGGTAACCAGGGAGTTTTTCAAGGGATTTCTTATGGCATTTTCTCTGAGTACTACTTATGAACCTCAATTCAGGCAGTTGATAAGAGCATAGGCATTCCTTCTTTCAAGCTGTGTACAAAAGTAAATGTTGTTTCCAAAAACAGTGGTTGTGAGTTGAGAATTTCAACCCTATATTTTGAATCATTTGCAGTTTAGACTGTGCAAAATATACAAATCCACATATCCAATCTGACAATGCATATCTTTCTATGTGAATGCAAGAAAACGGATTTTCAACATGCTGCCTCCATACAGGATCAGATAAATGACTGATAAAATGGCCTCCTATATATTGCTTTAATTGTACAGGTAGTACTCACTTAATAACTGCCCTGTTTAGCCACCATTCAGACTTAACAATGGTGCTGGAAAAAGTAATTTTATGACCAGTCTTACATTTACGACGGTTGCAGCATCTCATTGTCACCTGATCACCATTTGTGATCTTCACAGCTGGCTTCCAACAAGCAGTCAATGGAGAAGCCGGCAGTAAAATTGCAAGTCAGTATCGTATGATGTCTCAAATCACAGGTGATTCATTTAATGACCATAGTGGGAGTGACTTAAGTCTGGCCTGGTCGCATGATGTTTCACCTAATGACCACATTGCTTAGCAAAGAAAGTCCCAATTGTGGTTTGTTAAATGAGGACTACCTGTATTTTCCTGCATGAATCTGGTTTTCACATAAGAAAAGGGGAAATTTTGGAGCAGGCCTAACAAATGTAAAAACTAGCTAAGTTTTTGAGTCACAGTGGCGCAGTGGTTAGAGTGCAGTACTGCAGGCTACTTCTGCTGACTGCTGGCTGCTTGCAATTTGGCAGTTCAAATCTCACCAGGCTCTAGGTTGACTCAGCCTTCCATCCATCCAAGGTGGGTAAAATGAGGACCCAAAAATTGTTAGGGGCAATATGCTGACTCTGTAAACCAATTAGAGAGGGCTGTAAAGCATTGTAAAGCCGTATATAAATCTAAGTGCTATTGCTATTGCTAAGTGAAATTATTAAAGATACTCCACGCTTAATAATATTGTCTGTGACAACCTTGCAGCCTAATCCATAGTGCTGAAGGAAAAGCAGCTAATGATAGGAATTGTAGTTAAAAGTTGCTGGTAAAACTTGATTATGGCCATTTCTATGGCCAACAACAGGGGCCTTCTGATTGATTCACCATCTGGAAATTTCAATTTCGGTTGAATCTCATTAACTGAGCTTTGCAATGCTAGGTTATATTGAGCTATTTCATCTTTTTTTAAAAAAATGACCTTTAAAATGCACATTATTATTTGTATGTAATTTTAAAGTGAATAACATATTGACTTGGGTTTTTAAATCTGAACTCAATAAAGCGAACTGCTTATTTGTAGAATTTAACATGTAAATGTGGTTATGAAGACAATTTATGTAATTTTCATAAAATACTTCCACACATAGAATACTATATTCCAAACTGAAACAGCAAAGTATTATCAATATAGATTTGTCTTTAATTTGTACACTTAATTTGGTCAAATTAAGTTTGTTCGGCTGTAATTTATTTTGCTCCCAATAATTTTCATTCTTTCACATTTTAAAAAGCTGAGGTGTGTACACTGTTAAGTAAATAAAATAAAGACATCATCATCAAATCATTCCTCATTTAATGAGTATTCAGGAATGAATGCATTTTGATTAAATTAAACATTGTAACCTAGCCCTGCCAATTTAGCTGAAAGCAACAATGTTTCAACTATTAACATAAGGAAAGATTAAATGAAGTGTTGTAAATTCTATCAAAGAGAAAATATATGAAATCATACACAAAAGAACCATTTGTTCCAATTTACAAGGTTGTTTTTTTTTTTTTACAAATACCTAGCTCTCAGACAAAAATGCAATTTATCTCATTCTCAAGTATAATGTTTTAGAAACATCAAATTAAAAAAACTATCATAGAACAGTTAATGTAATGATTGTCTTTGAAAATGAAGTGGAAAATAAGGACTATGGACAATATTTGATTGGATTAATAGTGTTCAGTAAATTTGTTTTTATTTATTTATTTTTTACCTCAGGTACCACTAGATTTAACAATGGAGAGCTCATTCCATTATTTTGGAGTCTGGATGTTGTTAACTTGTGCTATCCAATAGTAAATAGATTTACTATTGGAAGTTGGTTCCACTAAAGGAACAAATCAGAGACTGAATATACTATGCCCAATAGTTCAGTATTTTTATATGTTGTATATGCTTTCTGAAAGTTATTTCAAAAGCCAACATTCTATTGCCAAAACTGCTATGATTTACTGCAGTGTATTAATACTAAAAAAAAGTCAAGCCATGCAGTGAATTATCATAATGTACAGTAACAGTTTTTAGCAAAATGTATTTTGTCACTAATATAACATAGAGAAAAGCACATTTATAATAGCACAAACTATTATTCCATTGCTATTTTTGGCATTGAAATTTTCCAAAAAATAAACAGTGTACTGATTCCAGATTCCAAATTGATATTTTCGATCTTTTTAATCATTTATGTTAGATTTCTTCAGCGGCTCATTTTAAAATCATCATGTTCATAAGTAATTTCATTTGTGTTAAGTATATATCAGTAAAACTGGGATGAATTAACCTCTCCAAATCAACTGGCTGGATTGATAGAACCTTTTCTTTTTTCTTCTCCCAGTTTTGTACAGTACGCCTTCTTAAATCTGTGTTATGCTTTTTGCCCATAATACAGGTAGTCCTCGGCTTATGACCACAATTGGCATTTGAGTTTCCATCACTAAGTGATGCAGTTGTTAAGTGAGTCATGACATGATCATGCCTGACTTTGACCTTTTTGTCATGGTTGTTAAGTGAAATGGTCATTAAGCAAATCCAGTGCCTCCGCCTAGACTTTGCTTGTCAGAAGCTGGCTGGGAAGGTCACAAATGGTGATCATATGATCCTGAGACACTGCAGTTGTCATAAATTCATGCCATGTGCCAAGTGCTCAAATCATGATGATGTGACTGCATGACCATTTGATGGTCATGAGAGATTCAGTTGTATGTCACTTTTTTCACTACTGTCATAACTCTGAACAGTTGCTAAACAAATTGTTTTAAGTCGAGAACTATCGGTATCCCCAAATGGGGCCTACTTAGTAAGTATCTTAGTGAACAGTTCTAACAGTGCTCCTTGAAATAATAATAATAATTGCAGAAAGATTAAACCTGGCTTGAATAATATGGTGCTAAACCAATTGTAGCTCCTATGATTGGTAGAAGAACAGGATGTTTTGGTGGATGAGAGGTTGCAGCAGAGCTGCACTAACTGTGCATTCACTAACTGTGGTTGTGAATGTCTATGGAGATTCTCAATCGTCATCCAAGGTCATGGTTGTCCCAAAGGTGCTTTTTTCAAGAGGCAACTGGACTTTCTTGTTTTTCTTGGAAGACGTTTCACTTCTCGTCCAGAGCTGAAGAAGCTTCTTGGATGAGAAGTGAAACGTCTTCCAAGAAAAATAAGAAAGTCCAGTTGCCTTTTGAAAAAAAAAAAAAACACCTTTGGGATGTGGTTGTGAATGGCTATAAAGAAGACACCATCCGGTGGAAAAATTGTGCTAGACTTGAAATTCTCCCCGAGGACCTCAGGCACACAAAATGGAATCTTAAGGTTAAAAAAAATAAGATGGTGCAAATTATCCAGCACCTGAATTTGAAATCTCAGAAAACGCCTACTAATCTGTCCTGAACTCTCTTATCGTTAACATAGATTCATTTTGCACTGAATTAATCTGAACAGGAGGACCCAACACTGAGCCCAATAATTTGGAAGTACAAAAATGTATGATGTTACCAAATCAAAGTATTAGACATTTCCTATTGAGTTCTTTTCTTTTTGTTCTTCCTTTCCTCTTTTCTACTTCTATAGATACTATACGTGTAGCATTCTACAGGCATGCTGGGTACAATATACTATGCAAATGAGTATAGTGTTGCATGGTTTGCAGCCTCTCTGCTTTTAGTGGCTTTCAATGAAAATGAAAGTGTTTTGTTCTTTTTTTGTGAGCCCAGGACATCTAACAGAAGAAAATGCAGACTGCATGCTTACATTATTCTAAGTTCTATGGAGTTGTTTTATGGAATTTAAATGTATTAAATTGCATTAACATTTTTTTCTACAATAAAAGAGACAAAAACATCTCAGCTACGTTTGCATGTTTGGCTTGTATGTTAATGTCAAAAAAGGTATGAGGTGGTATTAAAATCTCCTCAGGCGACGATAAAGATATTTATGATAAAGCCAGACATGTTTCAAAAATATCTTGCTTCAGGGGGCTCCCCTTTTCCACCTCACCTTGAAGAGGAATTCCTTCAATTTTACTACAAAGCAGCCCTGTGATATTGATTGAGCTGAAAGACAGTGTTTGGCCTAGTCATCACATAAGCTTTTGCATCTTTTGCATTTGCATAAGGCTTTCGCCATTCCTGGTGTAACACTTTAGCCAGTAACCACACCGATTTGAACTTGGAACTACTTGTAATTACAGGGTAATTCACACATGCCATTTTATGAATCATCTTTTCTTTGGCAAAATCCTTGACATCAGTGGGGTTTACTTCTAAACAAACATAGCATGGGTTGCGATGTAAATAAATTATGAGGGATCATCAGACTCTGCTTGAGACAATGCCATTTTCTTTCCAGAGTTAAGAGCCATACACGGCACTGCCTATAAACCCTGCTGGGACAGAATCAGTCATGACTGCCCTGAGAAATGACCACCTGCAAAAGAGTTGACTTTGCTTACTCCTTCAGCAATTTTTGGTGCCGCTAATCACAGTATCCTGGCCTGCAAATTAAGTTAGGGTCACTGGGTGGTCATCAAAAGATATGTAGTGCTGGAAATCGAAATTCAGCAGGAGCTCTTGCTAGAAGATGGATCTCTGAATACTTCTGAAACTCCCAAAGAACACTCCCTTCTCCTAAAGTCACCTATTTTTGGAGCTCAAATGATTTCTCAGGGCTAAAAATGTCAATCAGCAAGATTGGCCGATCTCCCAGCTACCTTTGGTTGGACAGGGAAAGCCTGAGCTACAGTGGGTCTCACATTCATATTCTCAGATTACTGCGATGGATTTTATGCGTGGTGCGCCTGCATTTGATCTGAAGCTGCAGCTGGTGTGGAAGATGTTGGCTAGGTTGCTGAGAGGGCCACTGGCTGAAGCAGCTGTGTTGGCTGCCAATTTTGAACCAAGGGCAAGATTGTGCTTTTGACATGCAGTATATGGCCCTTAAAACTTGCGTTAAATGAAAGAATGCCTTTGCCATTACATTCTGGGTTGATCAGGAAGATTATAGATCTGGAAATGTAATGGAAATAAAAGAGTGCCCTCTGGTAGTTTCTCATGACTTGGCCTTTTAGGCAGTTACTGGTACGGTACTTTGTAAAGTTTTTCTCTCTTTCCCAGAAAAATGATGAAGCTCCTACAATTACATTTTTAAAGCAAGTGTTACACAGGTTTTTTGGGGGGCGGAGGGGGGCATGAATATTGTAGACACTTTTTGTATAATTATTCTTTTGCGGTTTCTGATTGAGCATTTTCCAATTCTATAATGTACTGTGGTTTACATTTTAATTGACTGGAAATCATGTTGAGATGTGTAAATAATAGGATATAATATATAAAGTAAGTAATAAATAAGGAATAATACCCTTTGGTAGATGTGCCTCCTCTGAGGTTAACACTCTGATGTGCTGAAAAGGCTCAGTACTTCTAATACAGTAACTCTGACAATACCAATATAATAGCAAAAGCAATAGCACTTAGACTCATATACCTTATATAGCTAGTTATATACATCCCACTTTAAGTGTTTTAAAAAGTCAGCATATTGCCCCCAACAATCTGTGTCCTCATTTTACTGACCTGGGAAGATGGAAGGCTCAGTTAACCATGAGTCGGTCAGGATCGAACTCCTGGAGTGAGCAGCGAGTTAACCTGCTATACTGCATTCTAACCACTGCGCCACCATGGCTCAACAGCAATAATATTGTTGGCCTTCTAAAAAGTCCTCAAAACAAAGTCTTATAAACTGGCTGAAGAATTCCATGATACAGCAGAGCCTGCTAGATGGTTATATTATGGTTGTCTAAATGAACTCACTTTACTTTTTCGTTGTTGCCATTTTTAAAAAACCTTTTAAATTTATTTTTTTGTGGGGGGTTGTTTTGTTTTTGTCTTTTTATTTATTTTGGTTGTATTTTTAATTGTTTTTTTTATCTATTTGGATTGTTTTATTGTCTACCTCACCCAGAGTAAGAACATGAGATGGGCAACTTTATATAAAGTCATAAATAAAACTCCTGGTTGGGCCACCCATCCCATTAAGGTGAAAAAGGAAGGGGATAAAGGCTAGCTCTTCAAGAATGAGGATGACCAATCCTTAAAAGAAGGAACCTCAAAATCAATTCCAAAGGATGGCAAGCGGAAATACTTTTGTATTTCTATGGGGAAAAAAATGCAACGTTCTGTATAGACTTGGCTAAGGCATTTAGGATGAGGACGCGGTGGCTCAGTGGCTAAGACGCTGAGCTTGTCGATTGAAAGCTTGTTGATTGGCAGTTCAGCGGTTCAAATCCTTAGTGCCGCATAACAGGGTGAGCTCCCATTACTTGTTCCAGCTTCTGCCAACCTAGCAGTTTGAAAGCACGTAAAAAATGCAAGTAGAAAAATAGGGACCACCTTTGGTGGGAAGGTAACAGCATTCCGTGTGCCTTTGGCATTTAGTCATGCCGGCCAAATGATCACGGAGACATCTTTAGACAGTGCTGGCTCTTTGGCTTAGAAACGGAGATGAGCACCGCCCCCTAGAGTCGGGAACGACTAGCACATATGTGCGAGGGGAACCTTTACACTTTACTGTTAAGGCATTTAGGAAGATTGGGTATCAAATGGTAACCTACCTACCTTCCCCCCTATCAATAACCAAATTTCAAAAGGATAGTGAAAGAGCACAGAATCTCTACAAGAGATCTGACAGCAAGGACAGATCCACAGCAAAGCTGCAGGGAAAGCTGGTTATTGATGGTGCCAAGTAAAGAAAAGATACATATGATAGGAACATAGTATGTGGAAAAACAGGGACTATGAAACCATTGAATCTGTCATAGTGGAAAAGAAGCATACTGATTGTTTCAGAAATGTTTTAGAAATAAGCAAACTTAGATCAGAATCAGACATCTTAAATCAAATTGATATAGGGCATACGCTTTGCGGCATAAGATCACTACAGGAATGGAGTGATACTGACACACAAAAAGCAGATAGCTAAACATTTATTCAGCTACTTCCATGTAAATGGATCATATCTTCTAGAACTAGTGGATATATGTTGAATCTCAGTGATATAGACTATATACAGGTAGTTCTCGACTTAACAGTTCATTTAGTGACCGTTCAAAGTTACAATGGCACTGAAAAAAGTGACTTATGAGAGTTTTTCACACTTACGACCATTGCAGTATCCCCATGGTCACATGATCAAAATTCAGATGCTTGGCAACTGGTTCATATTTATGATGGTTGCAATGCCCTGTGGTCATGTGATAAGCTTTTGCGACCTTCTGACAAGCAAAGTCAATGGGGAAGCGAGATTCACTTAACAGCTGTGTTACTTATTTAAGGACTTCAGTGATTCACTTGACACCTGTGGCAAGCAAGGTCGTAAAATGAGGCAAAACTCGCTTAACAAATGTTTCACTTAGCCACACAAATTTTGAGCTCAATTGTGGTCATAACTCAAGGATTACTACCTCTACTCTTATTATAAGCACAGTAGTGGAAAACACTAGGTTGTAGCAATTTGGAAGAAGTACAAAAGGACCTTCTAGAAAGGCAAAATGTTAGTAATAAGGTAATGCAAAAGTTGGGGAAATGGATTGGTCTATCGAATACTGCAAAGGGAACTTTGTTCATTGCTAATACCTTCTTCAAGCAACACAAGCACAAACTCTATTCCTGGACAGCACCCGATTGGAATCAAATCAACTGCATAATAGGAAAGAAATTATGAAAAATTATAATCCAGCCAGTCAGGATTTTCCATGGAGATACTAGAACAGACCATGAAAGTTTAAAACTTTCCCTTTTAAACGGTATATGAGTAATTTTAAATCTGTTTTTAAATATGGAGATGTTTTAATTCGTCTCGGGCCAAATTGTTTAATACAATTTTATACTGTTTTAAATTTTATAATCTGTGTGTTTTATCTTTTTGGCTGTTCACCGCCCTGAGTCCTTCGGGAGTAGGGCGGTATATAAATCTAATGAAATAAATAAAAATAAAATAAATTGCAGATGCTAAATCTGGAGAAGGAAAGAGTAGCATATGAACGTGGAGGTTATCCAGTCACAATGTAGGATCAAGTTAAGGAAAAATCGGAAAAGAAATCGAAGCCACAAAATAAACCGAATGAATTCTGAGCAAAAAGTAGGATAATAAATTTAGTAAATGAATAAATAAAACGTGTATATCGGACAAGGGATACACTGATCTGTCAGTTTAGAGCTAGATACAAATGCATAGATTCATTTCTGGACCCCTCTATACTGCACATATATTTCCAAATCTCCTCCTCAAGATCAGTGCAATAGATGAGCAATAGATCAGGACATGATAAAATCAGAGGAACTGCCTTTTTTTCCCCCCCCAACGAAATTTCCTTTTTTTCAAGTTAGCCAAACAAGGCGACAATAATAAGAGTTCCACATTTTTTTTTAAATTAAACGACACTCGCTCAGCCCAACCTCGCTCTCCCCAGTCGCCCCAAACACAGATACAACGAACCTCTTGCCAAACTCCGCCCAGGAACGCTTCTCCTCCAATCAACGAAGACGGGAACGCAGGACGGGCTTAGCGTTTCTCGCTTGATATAGTTAGCGAGGAACTCAGCGCGCGCCAATGAGCGCTTCCCCCCCCGCCCCTTCTGTAGCCCCGCCTACTAATGCTTGCTCCCATCTGTTCCCTCCCCCTACCTCTTAAACCCAAAAAGCCATAGATTTGCTGAAGGGGAGGCGCGCGCGGGAGGGCGGGCGAGAGCCCGCTGGGCCGGTAAAATTGTCCCGGCGCGCGCTTTCCCCGTCTCCTGGACGGCGTCCGACGAGGCTCATTCTACGGCAGCTATCCTCTCCCTTAGGACCGC